ATGTTTACATCTTTCGCAATACACTAAGAGCAGCTCAACTAAATTGGGCAAGGAAGACACAAGGCTATCTGTCATCCACCTTGGAAAGCTCTCACCTTCATATCCATCGATTGTCAACTTCTGCAAATTTGAGTGTGGCCTTAGTCCATCTAATAGTGCTTCATCTCTATCCTCAATTACTGCATCATCACTATCGAAATCACCCTAGTGCCAAAGATTCTACAGAATGCTTCCCCATCAAGGTTGCAACCTTGGATTCTACTACTGCATTTGTCACTCTTCCCAAATTTTCAATGCGAAGGCTTCCCCGGACGTTATTATGTCGATTGAGCTACTCAAGTCCGCAATAATACTTAGCAAGAGCTTTTTCCTTGGGCAAAATGAAGCGTCTTAACCTCTGTAGAGAACTCAATTGCCCTAATCCACGTGGCACATAACTAAGTTCTTGACAAGCATCTATGTTTAGATATCAAGGCTGACTAGCTTCCTTATACCCTTGGCAATTCTTCAATGGAATTACAACCATTGAGATTAAGTGTTTGCCAATTCTGTAATCTTGTAATGGAGTTAGAAAGCCTTTTGAGTTCAAGATTATAAGAGAGATCAAGATACATGAGATGCTTCAACTTACAAATTGACCTTGGCTCCTTCTTAACATTTGTGGCATGAAGATCCAAGATGTGCAACCTTTTGAAGCTTTGAATGAGTTGGAATAAATATGCTTCACTTCTTTGCTGTGGCATAGCAAAAAGAATGTTCTCAGGGCACTCGCTTTCAAGCGTGAGATTGGAAGTTTGCCTACATATATATGACGAGTTCTTTTATGTATGGATTTTATGTCATCCCATGCCACCCAACACTTGGTCCTTGTAACCAAGCAGGCTAGATCATGCATCAAATCATGCATCTTGCGAGTCTCTAAGTCTTTTTGAAAATCTTGGAAGAAGTTGCTCCAAAGTAGATCCATGAAATATTCATGAGCAATGTCTTCTAAATTCCGAGTTCTATTTGATGGCTGGATAAATCCTTCCGCCATCCAAACTTCGACCAAAGTCTTCTTCTTTATCTCATAATCTTTGGGAATCAATGAACAAAACGCGAAACATTGTTTCAAATATGAAGGAAGATGGTCATAACTAAGCTTAAGAACTGATTTTTTGCTGTCTTCACTTGAGACACATCTAGGAGCTCATTTTCTTTGAATTGCAACCATTCGTGTTTACTTTTATTAAAGAGTAAAATCTTAACAATTTGAAACCAATGGAACCCCAGAGTACTTTCTAACTATATTTTTACCAATATCTAGCAAGTCAAGATCCTGTAACTTTTCTTTACAACAAGCCATTTGCATTAGTACATCAATAGACGTACTTTTAGATAAGCCCACGAGAAGATGAGGTGGAGTAGTGCCGTTGACCCCTGCAACCAATTAAAAACGTGTAGTTATAAGGATCTTGCTTCCTTTAGCACCTCCGACCAATAAAGTTTTCAAGCTCAACCATGTTTCTCGTTTTGCATTCCACAAATCATTTAAAACTAAGAGATATCTCTTTTCATCAATTATTGCCCTTAGTTCACTTTGCAACCGTTCCATCGCAACCTCGATTGGTTCTTTCTTCTTTGCACAAGCTATGATATTTTTCACTATTTTTTTCATGTCAAAGTCATTAGAGACTCAAACCCACATTTTCAAGTTGAACTGTTTACTGACCGTCTCATCATTAAATACAAATTAAGCAAGAGCTATTTTTCCAAGCCCACCAATACCAACTATCTGAAGGATGGAAGCATTCTCATTCACGTTTGAATCCAATAACAAATGAGCTAGGTATTTACCTTGTCACGTACAGACAACATGTAATATGATTTTGTAGTTTTAGCAATTACAATGGTACCCCGCTTTAATTTCACACAAATAAGAGATATGCAAAAAAGAGAAATATGGAATTTGTGTATTAAATAAGGAAGAGTATATGAGTCTATTGATATTTTTCATTATATCATTATCTAAGGTAACATATCAATCAAGGATATGCATAATCAAAGGAGGATATACACACAATACTAAAAGATACGGATAATCAAGAGAAATATTTTAATTTTTTCTACCGGAGAAAATTTTCCTAAAGAAATATCTCTAACATACCTCCTCAAAGTGCATATAAAATGTTAACTTGAGTTGGGATAAAAAATCCGAAAAACACTAGAATGGATCGTTGAAGTGGCTCAATGTGCTGAAGAACGAACAGCTTGACATTGATGTGGCTACTTATGTGGTTGTTGTGTGTTGTTGTGGCTGCTGTACTAGCTACATGATAGGAGGCTGTCGTCCCACAGGAGGTAGTCGTCGCGGCAGAGGCTGTCGATCATTTGAGGGTGGCAGGTCTGGTAGTGGTGTTCGTCTGCGCAGAAACATAATGGGTGTGGCCGGTGTTGTTACGAATGCCATGGAGAAACGCGGCCAAATGCGGCTGGGGTTATAACGAAATAGACTCAATGGGTGCTTCCTCATATGACAAGGCTCTACAGACTACGCGACAATAGAATAGGCCGACGTTGTCCATTAGACGAGACGAACAATGTTGGAGATTGACATTGAAAGAAGGATAATAGTAGTTATTGAAAAAGAAGATGATACGAAATACGAGATTTGCACTCAGGTGTGCAAGGTGTGCACCGGATGCGACATCACGATTTTCTAACTTTGAGACTTAGTTAGAAAGTCCAACAAAAAAACTTAAATCTTTAGAACAGTTGACAGCAATCCTACAAAATCTCATATTATATCAGTCTAAGTTTAAATCTTTCCATGCCCCTATTTGACTCCCCAATTACATATTTTCATGCTTTAAACTTAGGCCAAAATCCAGCCTACGCATGAGGGGAAGTGTTAAATATTTAAATATTAAAACACGTATTCATATAACAAGTTAAGTTTTTTGATTGGACTGTCTAATACGCACAAAATGCGCCATACATTGTTATGGAGAAGTCATTGGTAGACGGGTGGATTCAGGAACTAGATAAGAAAGCATGTGGATACATTTACAAAACTAGCAAAAGAGAGGTCATGCCTTGGTTTATCTTTTCCTTTATTTTTTACTTATATTTATCTACATCGCAATGGTGGCAGAATGAGCCATGTAAAATACCCAATAAAAAGTAATTACCTTGATTGATGTCCTCATGCCTTGTTGCTATTGCTTAGCCGTCTTTGTAGAGAAATTACCTCAATGCGATTTACGTAGCTCGTTGATGTCCTCATGCTTATTTTTCTCTCGTATTTTCTTTGAACTTGTCCTCATATGACTTTTTTTTTCTCACTTTTTGATCAACATACGACTTTTATTTCACCGGGGAATCTAGTTTTCCCCCGAATTTTGGAAAATGGGAAGTGAATTATATGCTAATTGTGTGGCTATCAACTATCAGTAAAGGAGTATTGATGCATGAAATTTGAAAGAAGAATTTTTTTTTCCTCTAGGAAAAATTGAACATGTGTTGTGACAATTTAAGTACGGCATAAAGTAATGCGCTTTTTTTTTTTTTTGCTAGAATAAAGTAATGCGTTTAAACTCACCTTTTAAGCGTAAAGCCTCGTTCATTTTTACCACTTGGCGAATCCCTTCTTCACTTAAGCCGGTATAGAAGATTACAATTCTAAGATGATTTATTCTCGCGATGCTTATCAAACGAATAAAGACAGGAAAACCATAATTAAAATAGATGGTACCCCATCTGTTAAGTGCATAATTGAAATTGGGAACTACATACGGAATGTGGATCTTGTAAGGACTCTCGTTTTCAAAATTTGAACGGCTTACACACTAAGTACACATCATTTATGTACGATTTAGCGCACCATGCTTCATATTTATATAATTAAACGCAAAGAGCACATGTTAGTCTGTCACGCTCACCTTTATATTACGAAAGACTGTTTTTCTTGGTCGAGAACGAAAGACTTACTATAAATTCATCTTTCCTCTTTTTTCTTGTCTCTCTTCTTTTCCCACTATGATGTACTAGATAAGAATCCTCGGCCAAGAACAAGGGTAGTTACATCATCTTTTGACGCGCGCATGATGTTTTTCTTCTCCTTTCCATCTATTTTCCATTTTTCAATAGGTTATCATGTCCCCTTCTTTATGTTGTTACTGAGAAAGCAAACGAGGACGATCCAATGAAATATCCTCAGCGACTGTCACTTTTTGATTAGTATTGAGTCACACACAAATCAAAGCGCACAAGTGCTGTCCAACTAATAATAGCATAAAAAAGAACTTGGACGGGGCAGGACTAAAAAGCAAGATTATAATAATTGCGTAGTTTATCGCAATTATAGTCTCTTTGTCCACTTAATAGAAAGAATAAAAAATATATATATGTGTATGTGTGTGTCAGGTGAATCACGTTATGAAGGATGCCGAATTTATCAGAACCTCGTCTTGGAAGACTGCTCGAACAACATAATTATGGGAGGACCACACTTACATCTATTGAGTCACTTCCAAATATATGGCGCGTGCAACAAAAAAAATGAAGGACCGAATCACAACACGCAATATTAAATTGGATTGCGAAGATTTTCTTAAAAAAACGAAGACACGTGAAATGACAACTCACTTTGCCAATTATTCCACGACGCGTCACGGACCCATCAAAGTTGATGGGCACTTCGTACAGAAAAAGAAATATTTTTCTTTCTTTGAGGAATCTTGAGACCACTAAGACTTATCCACAAGTTGGGTATAGTTTTCGGGTACTTAACATGACAGAGTATGGATTTAAATTTAAATAATTGGACCCTACCAATAACACTTATTTTGAATCTAGATCTACTAATAATATATCAATTTTATTGTAAATCGACCTCAATACACCTAGTATTTATTTATTTTAACCAGGAAGAAAGAGAAACCTCTTTTGGTATGGCCAAGAAGCCTGTATAAATAACCCTTTGAAGTTAAGTTTAAGAAGCAGTACAAGTCTCAGTCCAAAACGGCAAGTACGCAGACCCTCAAAACAAGAAAGAAAAAACCTAGCTATCATCTCTCTCTTCTTTGCCTGAAAGCCATGGCTTGTGAAAAGAGAAGTTACATGCTGTTGAGCCCAGAGAAAGTCGGTGTTGTTGATCTCTTTCGCATTTTGATCCACAGTGATGTGCACAAAAGAGAATTCGTGGATTGCTCTGAGAAAGGAGAAGAGAGCTTCGAGCGAAGGTGGATCATGTTTGTATCCATTCTCGCGCAGAAGCTCCTGCTTCTTGTGGCCAAACCCATGTCTTGGATCGGGTTGGTTCTCGAGTTTTGGTTAAATCTCCTGTCGAGCAATCAGAACTTGGGAGGGCTTCTCATCAACTGCTTCCGAGGTCAGTTTGCATATTTAGTTATTACTACCTTCCATATTCAAATGTGATGCAAGGTATGGCACGCATTCTTGGTATATATGCCATAACATTTCTACTTAAGTAACTACTTCATATCCACGGTTGAGGTTCCACTCCCTCGTGCTTTACACAGCCTGTGTTTCGTATGAAGATTCATTTCATTTCACACTGGCATTTGCAAAGCTGATGCATTTTTTTTTTCTGGTCGAATTGCAAAGCTGATGTGATATCACCCACAATGCTTGACCAGGTGGAATGATGTTTTTTAGCATGGGAAAATGACAATGATGGATATGATCCGAAATAGACCGTGTGGTTAGATTCATTTTACAATTTGATAGTAAAGTGCATGATCATATAAAAAATTTTTATCCAAAAAGTCTTAAATTTGTACTTTTACCAATTTAGTCTTAAGTCATAAACTTTTTCACGTTTTATCAATTTAGTCCATCTAAATAATTTTGGCTGGAAATTGTTGACGTGGATGCCGGCAGTCTTATGTGACATGACTGGCGCTGATATAGACAATTTTTTTCATAATATTTTTTTTCTTTTCTTTCTTTTTCTCTTTCCTTTTTTACTTTTTTTTTATTGTTAAGGGATAGCAAGGAGCCGTCTGCCACCGGCCGAAGCCGGTGACCTGGCCCAGTGGCTAGCCAAGGCTTGTTGCCCTCACATGCGGCCCTCGCCTAGTGGCTGGCGAGGGTTGCTAGGCCTCAGTTGGCAGCCCTCTGGTGGCCCTTAACAATAAAAAAAAATAAAAAAAAAAGTAAAGAAGGAAACAAAAACAGAAAAAGAAAAGAAAAGAAAAAACTATAAAAAAATTCAAAAATTATTAAAAATTATTCACTTCAGTACCAGCCGTGTCTTCAAAAAATATAATAATACCTTTTGTTCGGGAATACTGATATTGGGTGTTGAAATTTTGCCTATTTCTACTTTTAGCATTCGAACTATGATATTTACTAATTATAGAGCATGTAAAACGTTGAGGCGCATGCATATGCAATTAATATATGATGAGTCATTTAAAGTCAGTTGTTTTAGAGTTTTTCTTAACTACTTAAGATAAAAAATTGTTTATTTTTTGTAAAATCTTTTTAAATGGAAAACAAAGGGATGTTGCATATATTTCTTTAACCGGAGTTCATCGAGCTTTGATAAACTTCCTTCAAGTTTCTCCACATCAAAAACACTACGGTGGGAGCTATTCACAAACTAAAAGTGTTAATGGACCTTTAGACTTCAATATTAGTCTTCGGGATAGAGTTGACCATGAATCTAGCGGTCCATTGAGTTCATCTAGGCTCAAAGTATAAGTGGTTGAGTTTGGATATAATATATGTTTTTTGGATCAAGTTCACTTAGGTCCAATCATTTCCAAGAAGAAATTTAACATTTTACTAAGAATGACCAGGCTTATCCAGTACCTAATTAGGCTCATCTACACCCGTCTATTGATCATGTCTACACGATAACAACTTTATTTAGTTTACCAACCAAGAGAGGTTTTTAAAAGACTGACGAATTGCTGTATCTTCTGGAAAACATACCTAGGTGCAGATATTGAATAAGCAGTGCACTGCTTAAACAGTAGGAGCAGTCTGTCTAATTGTGTTGACTTGTTATGTGGGGTTGTGAATAGGGAAGGTGGTGATGCCGGATAAAGCGTCAGGGAGCTTCGTATCCTTCATTGGCAACTTGGACAAGAGAGTGGAATTGGACAAGAGCATCAGTCCTGGTGACAGCGAGTACTATGCGGCTCTATCCATGATGGCTTCGAAAGCATCCTATGAGAACAAGGCCTACATTCAAACGACAGTCACGCACCATTGGCAGGTCAAACTAGAGAGGGAGAGAATCTAAAACAAAGTCATACTCGTACTTAGTTTGACCTTAAACTTAATCTGAACAATCAATCATACTTTATGCTAAAAAACTTGATTGACTAAGTTCCTAATAAAAGCTGAAAACAATCAAATTTGTTGATTATAATAATTATCTCTGTTCTTTTCGTGCAGAGGGAATTCTTGGGGTTCTACGACTTCTGGAATGGTACGGAGCTATATCGCCATCTCTATAGCTACAAATAGTATACCAAGATGATAATTGCCGTATGTCTTGCTCGTTTTTCGTTTGCAGATCATCAAGGGAGAGCAACCACACAAGCCTTCATGCTACGTGACCGTGACACCATCGTGGTGGCCTTCCGAGGCACGGAACCTTTCAATGCGGACGATTGGTGCTCGGACATCGACCTCTCGTGGTACGGGATGCCAAGAGTTGGGAAAATCCACGTCGGTTTCATGAAAGCCCTAGGGCTCCAAAAGAACCTAAGTTGGCCGAAAGAGCTCGACTCGCGTCGGCCTTTGGCCTACTATGCCATAAGGGAGAAGCTAAGGTCACTGCTTGGCAAAAACGACAAAGTGAAGTATGTGTTGACCGGCCACAGTTTGGGAGGTGCGTTGGCGATCCTCTTCCCAGCGATCTTGGCCATGCACGAGGAGACGCGGCTGATGGAGAGACTGGAGGGGGTCTACACATTTGGTCAACCTAGGGTTGGAGACGATAAGTTTGGGGAGTTCATGGAGAGGGTCTTGGAGGAACATCAGATTAATTATTTTAGATTCGTTTATGGGAATGACATTGTGCCTAGGTTGCCTTACGATAATTCAACTTTCATGTTCAAGCATTTTGGGAGGTGTTGCTACTTCAATAGCAAATATGAAGGGAAGGTGAGGATCTCTCTCTCTCTCTCTCTCTTTTGAGGCTAAATTAGTTTTAGTGAGGTTAGTTATATTAGTAGGTGGATAAAATTGTTCTAATACTAGCTTTAGTTAAATGCTAAGTAAGTGCATTAAATATTTTACTGAAATTGAGATGTGGATAAAGCATATACCATTGGATTAGATTTGCTTAAAAAAAATAGTATGGGGGGTTTTAAAGGTGAAAAAAGGAAGAAGAAAGAAAGCATTAACCTCTGTTAGGACCGCAACAGCGGAAGCCCAATACCTTTCGCCCTGAGAGATCACCAAGAGGGAGACTAAGTCCGAACTTGTTAACATATTCAGTTGGACTCACCTTTATTCAAAAGTTTAAGCCAGTGAGTTATGGGCCTATGAGAATAGATATATTAACTGCTCTACACCACATTAATTCTTCGATGTGAGATTTCTTTAATACAACTCACACGTGCATCTTAGCAATCTCCCCCTCAGGTATGAGCTCTCCCGTAATTCAGGTATCCTTCTGCATCTAGATATGAAGTCATGCCATCGGGCCTGCATTGTTACACCACAATGCCCATCGCCCGGAAATTACACCTAACTTCATCCACCAAACACCGGAACATACCATCGACTCTGATACCAATTTGTTACGAAACATAGCAGAATCCCAATACCTTTCGGGCGGGGAGATCACCAAGAGGGAGCCTAAGTCCGCGTCTGTTAATATATCCAGTTGGACTGACCTTCATTCAAAAGTTTAAGCCAATGAGTTATGGCCCTACTATGATATATTAACTACTCTACATCACATTAATTCTCTGATGTGGGATTTCTTTAACATAACTTACACGTACATCCTAACAACCTCACATGGCATGTTGTAATTGGATTAGACTACTCATTCAAATTGATTGTTTGCTTAATTTTTGATACACAGATCGTCCAGGAAGAACCAAACAAGAACTACTTCTCGCCTCTAAACACAATACCGATGATGATGAATGCGTGGTATGAGCTCATAAGAAGCTTCACGATTGATTGCAAGAACGGACTGGACTACAAAGAAGGATTGTTGTTGAGGACTTTTAGAGTGATTGGCCTGCTAATTCCAGGCGCACCTGCTCATTCTCCTCAGGACTATGTAAACGCTACGAGGTTAGGAGGGTCGCAGTTATTCCAACAATACCAACAATGACTATGGATAGTTATAGCTTTTTAAAATGGAAAATTGTCTCCTAAGATTGGAACACCAAGATTAATCAGTTGTATTGTAAGAAAACGAACAGCTATGTAGCCGATTTCAAGAGGACCGTAAGCAATGGTCTATCCCACTCCATAAACTTATCTAGTATGTTATATAAATATCATTTGAACATTTCCTAATAACTTTGTTGCACGTATATTGCCCTCCAAACTTCCTCAACACATTGGAGACTTCAAATTGGTCGAAATAGCCATTACAAAGGCTTTTCTCAGCTTAATTCACCTGGAGCTAATTAATGAATCTTGCTCGAGACAAAATTGTCTTTCGAAACTTACTTGATACTTCGTCTACTTAACAAAAATGGCACGCCACATTTTGACTTCTGCAGAATGTTTCACCGTGGATTCCAAGGCTTGAAATTGGCTCCAAAATACCAATTTGAATTTGAATAAAAATTGATATATAGTTAGGTTTTTGTTTCCAAGTGCATGGAGCATTGTCCACTCCATTTATAGCATGAACTTCCTCTCTAATGTGGTTCATCCAGACTAGACGATTTTACCAAATGCCAATTTGTTCAGCTGTTGCACTTAGATCTTTCCAAGCATATTGAGGTACTTTGTGTTATTCAAGTTGTTCTCCTTCTATTGTGTCCATCCAAACACTTTGACGATCCCACATCCCTTGGTTGTTCATCAAAATTCAAAGGTTCTTCAAACTCCAATACTTGCACTTCTTATTTTGTTCTTCATTTGTAGACAAATGAAGATCTCCAATAATGCAGATGTCCTGTTGTTAACATCCTCAATCAATTTGTTTATGCAGAGGATATTTCGTCTTCACACTCTAATACACCAATTAGTTCATATGGAATGATTTGGCGTCTTCGAAATACATAAAGAGTTTTCCCAATAGGCTTTTGAACGTGACAGTGAGTGCGAGTGAGTAACCAAACTTGTCAATGTTACTTAGAAACCTTTTCTTTCTCGAGTTACTAAATAGATTAATTCTCACCAAAAAAATATTTCGAAAATATTTAGGTGGACACCAACTTCAAAAATTAACTTGCATTATAGTATAGATAGATAGAATGAGATTTGCTCTTCTTTATTAACCATATATTTACCTTTGTTGGCGACGGATCTTCATACCGTTTCAATTGTTAGTCACTTTTCATGGTTCAAGTTCGAATTTTTAGATCATTCTCGTTAAAAAGTTGGCTTGGGAAATTCGAATGTCAATTCTTATAGATGACAAACAAATTAAGAAAGTTAAAAAACATGATCTTCGACGCACATGATTTGTATTTCTAAAACCGAGACGAAGATCGTAACTACGTAGTTTGAAGAGACAGAGTCAAAACTGACCAACTTTTAACGGTAAGTGAGAGAATGATCCACATGAACATGGATTTAGGGAATGACAAAAGCAAATGTCCGAAAACGTGCTGACACCATCAGGCAAAACCTGCTCGCGAACAATGGTGAAAAATCTCTGCTCATTAGTTCATCTTGCTCCATGAGAACAATGGCTTCAATGGGCAATCGTCGTTGCCAAGCCCAAAGCCCAGACCATGTTGGCTTAGGGCCCAACGGGCAGCGATTGGCCCTCCTTGATCAGGAGCTCCATGGGAGCTGAAGGGTGTCGATTACGTGAGACCGCTGTTCCTGGCGAGCGAGCGAGAGAAGAGGAGAGAATCCGCGAGAGTGCTATCTGGGTCTTTTAGGTTCTTGAGAATTTGAATCAGATCCGAGGTCAGTGAGCGCGTGGTTCTTTTTTTTGTGTTTTGCCGATCTTGGTACCTTGTCGCTGAACGTTGGTTTGAGTTGTTAATCTATCTGGACGGAAAAGAAATGGAGAAACCCATGAGCTTGTTTTGGTATTCGATGATGATGATGATGATGATGATGTTTGTGTGTGAGAAAGAGGTGCTGTGCTCTTTACGTGCAGGCGATTTTGATGTCGAGTGTGAGGAGGAGAGGTATAGAAGAGTGTGTCCTGTGAGGCCGAGACGAGGGCGAGGTTAGTCTTAGGGTTTGTGTATCCTGTTCTTGCTGCTGCTCTGCTTCTTCTTCAAAATACCTCATGGAGCGAAAACTTGTGGTGAGCATTTCCTGCTATTTTTGTCGATTGTTCTTATGTTGTTGTAGCTTTTCTGTTTTTTTGTTATTTTTATTGCTGCAAGCTTTCTTTTTATGATAGTTAATCTTGATGGAATTGCAATTTTAGGTTTTGGGTATCCCGTGGGAGGTTGACACGGACGGATTGAGAGAATATATGAGCAAATTCGGGGAATTGGAGGATTGTGTTGTGATGAAGGTCTGCCCTTGCTTCCCTTTTGTGATGGAAACCTGGATGTTTCTTGTTTTGTTTAAATGGGAGGACTTGGATAGTTAATTTGTTAAATGGTTCAATTAGGACTCTCTCTTTCTGCTCTTTATTACATGATGTGATATGATGTAGAATCTAGTTTGAATTGCACTTCCATCTTTTTGTCTTAATGGGTTTGGTGGTTGGGTTCTCTTTTCTGATGGAACTCCTGCCTATGTTTTCTTGTTTAAGTTACCGCAACAATTTCTTTTTTACTGTTGATGACAATGTGGCTGATCATGGCCTTTGAGAGGTCAAGAGAAGATTGATGATAGCTCAAACTTTCAAGGATTTCAGTCCAAGTTGAATTGACACAAATCTATCTTTTTCTTTGTGTTTTTGTTATCCGTTTCTATAGCATAATGCGAAATTTGGTGAGCGTTCCACTGGCAGTGCCCTCTGGTTTCGCACTTATCAAAGGATCGTTTTCACCTCTCTTCTTATGTAAATACTAGTTCAGAGAATTCGTTTCCATGATTCTCCAGGAGCGGTCAACAGGCAGATCTCGTGGTTTTGGGTATGTAACGTTTGCAACAGAGGAAGATGCTAAAGTAAGTGTTTCCGAATGAGCATATGTTCCAAAAAGCAGCTACATGCATTTGATGAGCTCCGTCATGTTGTCACTTGTCTGCAGAATGCACTGTCAGGCGAGCACTTTCTAGGAAACAGAATGCTAGAAGTGAAAGTAGCTACACCAAAGGTTTTCTTTTACTCTTTGTTACTCTTTGTTAAATTTAATAGTTTTTTGCCTTCATAGAATGACTCTTATTCTGTGAGATTATAGTTAATTAATCTGAGTCAGTTTTTACCTTTAAAGTTTACCATCTTATCATAAGTTCCTTTTCCTCATCCAGGAGGAGATGAGAGCACCTCCAAGGAAAGCTACTCGGATATTTGTGGCTAGGATCCCACCATCTGTTACTGAAGCAACCTTTAGGGGGTACTTAACCTTTCCTGGAACATTCGTTTCTTTTCTCAAAATGGACAAGCTAAGATATGGAGAAAAAGCTTATTTCTTTTGAATGTGCAGCCACTTTGAGACATATGGTGAGATAACGGATTTATTTATGCCCAAGGTGCTCTCTCTCTCTCTCTCTCTCTCTCTCTCTCTCTCTCTCTCTCTCTCTCTCTCTCTCTCTCCATGTGCATGCTCTAGTGTGCTATGTGCTCCTATGTTCTTGTGTGTGAGCATGAGTGTGCGCATGTGCATCTGTTACTTTGCCTTAGCATGCAGCACAGCTTTTTCCGAATTTAACACAGCTTGTTAGGTGACAGTTACTACACACTGGTCTCTATTCGTTTTCTGCAGGATCACGCTACAAAAGCACATCGTGGAATTGGCTTTATTACTTATGCAAGTGCAGGTGAGACCATGTTACATAAGCCTTTTACTTACACGTGGTTGTTCTTCTATCATGCTTTCTTAATGTGGTGCTATTAGATTGAATATCTAGAAGAGGAGTATTTAGAAGGTGTATATGCTGATTGTAAGGGCTGAAACTTAGGTGATGTGTTTCTCATGTACTTTATACAATAGAGTTTATGTATTGTGCAAAGTGTTTTGCATTCTGTAAGCTGGAGTGAATAATTCCATAATTGGAAAACAGCAATTTTCTTATGTGTATGTCGCCCATCTTGACTCACAAGGTGGGTGTGTGTGTGTGTATGTGTGTAGAGAATGGCATAGTGTTGCTCCTTTAAGATTTAGATTGTTGAATATCAATGGAGAGCAAAAGGAAGAGAAAATTAATATGGAAAAACGTGGCTGTTCTTTGGAATCTACCTATCAGATTTTGTTTCCTCTAAAAAGCCTGTTTGTATGTATTTTGTCTGCTGAACTGGTTTCAGTGAATCAATTTTCGATAAAGGTAATGTGCGTTTGTATTAGCTGTAGAGTAACAAAGTGAATTTATTTTAGGAGAAAAAAGCAAGGGAATGCACACTTGTTTAAATTTCATCATCAACGTCATCTAAGTGAGTCTGCAAAAAAAACAAGATAATACAATGTTAATTATTATCTAGCGTATTTGGATTTAGTAGTGGTATCCATTTTTTGAGGGTTGTAGAGTCAATAAAGGTGGGAAATGAACATAGCCAGTTGTGGCTGTACTGGTACATACTACCTTTCAAGATGTCCTCTATGGCTTTTCTTGTGTTTCTCATAATATGTTTTCAGGAAACAGTAATAGCTCATTTTTCAACAATAGGCTGTGTATAACTCCGAAACCTACATCATAATTTAGATGTCCTTGGAACTTCTTTCTTGAAGTTATTTATTGATCACTTGAAAAATCGTCACTTGATTCTCTTCAATGAAAAACTATTTCTTTGTGCAATGGTTACCATATGTTGAATATCTAGAAACATTGTGTGCTTTTTCATAATCTCTCGCTACGTTCATGTGGGATTGAGGGTGTCATACTTAAACCATTCCGGTTCCTAGCTTGACAACCAAAGCAGCAACGGAAAGTGCAATAAAATCAATCCAAAAGCTTAAGTTGTTAGGTGAAGGGATACAATACACTAATAATGCCACGATAAACCCCGTAGACAATCGATGTGGTATAACATTTGAACACCCTCACTCACTTGCAAAGCGAACTAAAGCCATGTGAAGAGCACACGTGGAACCAAAGAATGTGGAACCACAAGCAAAAGAAACTTAAATGGGGCATGATGGATTGGAACTTGCTTTAGATAGTATGTTAGAAAGTCAAACTTAGGTGGAGGAAGGTCATGTGCATGTAAGGCCAAGAGAAACCCCCTGAACAAGTGATGTGGGATAACACTTCACAAAAAGAAAGTACAAATTTCAGTCAATCAAATGTAGAGATATAAAAGATAATCTGACCTTTGAGACATGCTATATCCATGTTAATGCTTGTGCGAACCCATCCTTAATCTCTGTTGTCACCTTCAATGTGGAGTGTTACCTTTCATTGCTTCTCTTTTGCTGTTTATATTTGACATTTGAGACCCAAAAGAATCCAGTTGATGCATTCATATAGAGCCTATATTTTTCCATTTTGCTTCCCATCTACCACTTCTCTTCATCTCTCCTCTCAGCAAATTATGTCCGAAAATCTTCTTGGGAATGTCTTTTTTGCTTCGATCTCAGATGGATAGGGCAATGTGTATCATCTAGCTAATCCATTTGCTTATATTGATCGTGTTTCCCTTCGGTACTTTGTATTTTGGGTGCTTTCGTCCTGATTATGGTAATACGGTGATCATAAAATTCAATCTGCTTTTGATTGTACAGACTCTGTGGACAACTTGATGGATGATACACATGAGCTGGGAGGTTCTGCAGTAGTTGTTGACCGAGCAACACCAAGGGCAAGTTCTTTTCATGATTTTGTAATTTGACATTTCCTTCTGGAAGATTTTTCCTTTTATTTTCAAGATTTTCTTCTAAATATATTATCCCGAGTGACATCAGATACAGATGTATGGGCACAAGATTTTTTACTCCATTTACTAAATGTACTCTCAGGAGGATGATTTTAGACCAATGGGCAGAAATGCACAGGGCGGATATGGTGCATATAATGCTTACATTTCTGCTGCAACTAGATATGCAGCCGCTGGTGCTCCTACCTTGTACGACCATCCGGGCTCACTTTATGGAAGTAAGCTAATTCAAATTATTACCATGTAATCTACTTGCTTATGGAGGCAATCATAACTTTGTTTGGTTATGGCTTCGGATTAGGAGGGGAACCTGTGCGAGGTCTGGGAAGAAAGATTTTTGTTGGTAGGCTCCCGCAAGAGGCAACTGCCGATGATCTCCGCCAACATTTTGGGAGATTTGGCCGAATTGCGGACATTTATGTTCCTAAAGTGAGCAGCTAATTAAGAAGTAAGATAAAAAAACGTGAACTCAAATTGTCATCTAGCTATAATAGTACTTACTTCATTCAGGACCCAAAGAGATCTGGCCATAGAGGCTTTGGTTTTGTAACATTTGCTGAGGATGGTGTAGCCGAGCGTGTGTCTCGGAGGTCTCATGAGATCTGTGGACAGCAGGTACGGAAAATGGATCTATTAGTGTCATAAACACAGTTCGTGTATTTCTTCTATTAATTCTTGTATTAAACATTATGGGATGTACTCTTAGGCTTTGCTTGGAGAGAGGGAGAGAGAAAATAAGAGGTGAGGAGTGGAAAATTATGAAAATTTTGTGAGAGTAAATTGGAGGGTAAGTGCAAAATCTTCTTCAGCCACGCATGATTTTCTTCTCCCTTCTTCCAAACAAAGCATCAAGATTGTGTTGAGAGATGGATCAGCGTTACTGTCATGAGAATTGTTCTAGTCTGATTGACTTATCAAAAAGAATCGTTCTAGTCTGATTGCACATGATTGCATTTGTTTTTTATCTCTATAATTTGGTACTAAAATTCTAGATAGGGGTATGCATGAGGGAAGTTGGTTTTTCCGTTGCCAGCTACAGAGGTCAGGTGGTGATTACTGGATGGCAAAAGAAACTCACCTAAATCTGATTTAAATTTTAAAAGTGGTGTGGACTATTGTTATAGGGACACGAATTATCAGCTCCTTTGGATTCTTATATTTTCCCTGGCCTCAAGCTTCTGGATATCTCTTGCAAAAAGCTTTTATGTGCATGAAACTTTGTAATTGATGTTTGTGTGACAGTAACCGATCAAGGAATAATTATTCTTTTGTCATGTTATTAGCTGTGTATGATGTTAAACAGGATTTGGTGAGGTAGTACATATCTAACAATTGCATACAGATCCTAATATGTGGAGCGTCTTCTTTATTTAATTATCTTTGTTGTGTAAGTGGTTGCAACCTTGTGCTTTTGGAAATGATCTTTGGAGAGACACATTAATCATCAATTGGCCTTGGGGAGTTTTCTATAGTGACACTATATTCTTTTTCCATGCTCAAAAAACTTTCCTCTTTTTTTCAGAATGCTCGAATTCCAATACTGCTGTTAGTTAGCCTATTCTTTCTTATTTCATTGATATTTTTATGACGGAGTTCTTCTTTTCCCACACTTGCTGTTTAGGTTGCAATTGATTCGGCAACACCTCTTGATGATGCTGGCCCCAGTGGAAGCTTTATGATGGGTAGTGTGGAGCCCTTTGGGGGCTTTGGAGGTCCCATGCGCCCTTACAGCAGGATGTATGGAAGCTTTGATTTCAATGATGTAAGTATCAACTCTTTTGTATAACTCAATCGGGGGCTGTTGCTGTTTGTTGTGACACCTTTGCTTCTTTGTTTTTTTTTGGCTTTGTTTCTGCCGTGCATCGGAAAGGGAAGAAAGTAGTGATTTCAATGTGTTCGCCTATTTCTATTTTGTCTTCTGTAAATGACTATTTTTTTAAGCGGTTAATCATGTGATGAAATATTTTTTAGAAGAGATGCATTCGTGTAATTTAAGCTGCTATACAGTCTTTGATGCAGTGGGGCGGCTATGGACTTGGTGGAGGGAGACCTTCAAGAGCGGATATGAGGTACAGACCATATTAGGGCTTCAGGGGGGCTTTGGCACTGTGTGGTTGGGGATCAAAACGACATTGGCGTGCCGTGCGTGTGGAATGACGTGGTTTACTTGTTTGTGAGACCTTTTTAACAGATAAGATTGCCATCGGGTAGAAACAGAATGTCTAATTAACATCATGGTATTATTGCACCGCTACAGTTTGTGCGACTTGTTTTTGAAGCGTGACAATGACATTACTAAAAGTAGAAGGTACATATGTGATTTACCTAACAATGTGACATGGGGGAGCTACACATATCTAGAAATTTATTGGAACAGATCGGGAAGAATTATACATTTCGTAACTAACAATGGAATTAAGTGTAGGACGCCTCCAGTTTGAATTTGGTCGTTCAACAGTGCATAGGGAAGGCATTGCATTCTCTTGAACATGGGATGGTTTGGTGTGTGCTCACTGCTCTCTTGTATCATGTTTTGGATCTACAGTACCATTATCCTTTTGAATAGTTAAATTTAGTGCTTTCAACAACGTAGGCAAGATGTTAGGTGTTGTTTGTTATCCGGAAAGGGCTTTACCTTGGGCTCCGTTGTCATTTCCGAACTACACACTGTAATGAATAGCTCATAGTTCGGCTTCGAGAATTCCTGGCTTAGCAGGTCCCGGTACATCTGGTCCGATGTTGTCTTATGGATAGTGAATTTGGAGAGACATATAGGAACAATAGGGGCATCGAAGGATGCAGTTGATTGTTCTTTTACGTTGAAACTATCTCTTCTTCTTATACTTATGGTGGCGGTGTCGATCGTCTAGTGTAACGATAGGGATAATATAGATTGCAAGATACTCCTCGACTAATCTCAAGAGGTTGGAGTGAGTGATCAACTGATCATGACTTAAATGTGGCGAATTAGCAAACTAGTTAATGTTTTCTTCTTCTATAACCGAAAAACAAAAGAAAATGTATATTTGCTGATTTTAGGAACCTTCTTTTAAAAATAGCCCGATACATCAAGTCATGGCTGAAAATATTTTGAATGAAATGCCTCCAACCAAAAACTTATTTTTCTTGAAGCTATGAACACATATTATTAATTCAAAGGTCTCAAATTTGAGACAGTAGATTTCAAAGGACATCAAAGTAAAAATAGAATGAAATTAAAGAAACGTGAAAGCTATTGTAAATTGACGTTTAAGTTGATAAAATATGAACACCCGTGGTGCTCAGACCGGAATCTGAGGAGCCACAACATGTACGAAGCACAAATCGGTTCATAGTGACTATTATTATCTTGTTCAAGCCTACTCACTTTCAAACAAAATGAATAGAGAAGCCTAACCGACCGGAATCCTTAACAATGTTAGAAAGAAATCAAATCATAGCAAACTCGACTCTAAAATTCGTTTATAACCCGAAACGAACCCATCAACAGTTGATGGTGTTTCCCTTTGCCGTCATCTAGAAACCGAAATTGCATGAACAAAAGCATTGTCTACGTATAGACGACGATTGAATATTCAAATATTACACCACACATTCCATCTAACAGTGAAGTTTTTAAAACAGCACGATATCTCACTGATGAAATCCGTAAATCTTGTTTATGCACGTGTTACTTCAAGATTGAGAAATGGATCTGATGAAGGAAATTTTGGACCCAACCTTAGGTGGTCCCTCCTCCTGGCTTCTTTCTCGGCCCCCACGAACAGTGGCAACATGGTCCCTCGTTGTACTGTCCACCTGGAAAAGTTAGGAGCTCCTCTGTCAGATTGTCACTGGAAAAACACGAACACACCCCCCATCTTCTCCCAATTTTCTAGGAAAAGGAGCATCTTCCTTTCTTTGCTTTGCTTTGCTTTGTTTCTCTGGGTCTCCCCCACCATTCTAACTTGGCCTGTCAAAAGAAGAGACTTTCTCCTTCCATTTTCCCTCCAGAGTCAACAGTGCCACTATTCCAGTTTTGGCGGAAAGATATTACTAGTCATTGGACAAAACTGTCCAAAAGACTGATTTTTTTAACACGATCAATTAATTTATAAACTTGCACTTTTGTCGTGCATATCACCATCGAACGTTTTATTATCGGTTGTCGTTTATATACGTACAAGTATAATGGGATTATAGGATGAAACAAAAAAAAAGACCCTCTTTAACAATTTTCCAAAATATAATTGCAGTTACATTTTACAAGGCGAAACTTTAAAAGGTAAATTTTAATTGAAATTTTCCTAAATATAATGACTTGTATCGCTTAAAATAAATAGTCAATGAAAACTATTTTCATTATCGACAACAATTTATCTTTAGAATTTTCGTAAACAATGAAAAAAAAATTTCGTTCATCATTTTTGTAAGAGATACGAGCAATTATTTTTTGAAAAATGTATTATAAATCATTCATTTTTCATGAAACAATCGCACTCTAAAAGTAAACTAATACCAAAAAAAGAGAGAAGCTAATGTAATAAAAATACCAATTATCGTTCCAAATACTCTACCTACTTTATTTATTTTAAGGAAAATTCCAAATAAGGGCTCGAAGTGTCTTAAATAAGAGCCAAAAGTAGACATTGTTTCAAAGGACCTAAAGTGCCCTAATTTTCTCAAATAAAGGCTTGAATTGGATTTTATTTCAAATAAGAGGCTGAAATAGCCATGAAATAGCCATGTCAATCTCAAAGAATGGCATAACCTCATTGGCTTGGTCAATGATATTTTCGTCATTTACTTTTTTTTTCTTTTTTCCTTTTTCTATTTTTTTCTTTCCTTTTTCACTAGTGGCCGGTCTCAAGCGATGGTCGGTGATACCCGGAGAGGGATGGGCGAGGCCACCCTTGAAAGCCACAGGTGAGGGTTGGCCTCACCTCGGCAACCCTTGTCGGTCAGAGGTAAGGTAGGTCCTTGCCAAATTTGGGGGAAGATCGCCTCGCTTGCGGCTAGCGGGACCTGGGCAAGGTGACCCTCGGCAGCGGCCAGTGAGGGCTTGCAGGCCCTCGTCGAAAATCGAGTTATTTACTAATTCCGTCCAATTTGGCTAACGGAAAATGTTAATGTGATTTTTTTTAAAAATATTTTAGCTCTCTGACATGGTGTTAAAGTTAACTAAAAAACTAAAATGACGTCGTTTCAATATTTTACCTCTCCTATGTAGGGCCAGCCCTCTTTCCTATGACTACCACCCCATCGCCGGTGGGACGTCGGTCATGGCTAGCGGGGTCGTTGCGACCCTCTCCGACTAGAGCTAGCCCTCTGTAGAACCTAAAGAGGGTTGCAGCCCTCAACTAGACTTGTGCAAGGGTTGTCGGCCCTGGCCGACACCCCACTGGCGATGGGGCAGTGGCCATACGCAAGAGGGCTGGCCCCAGCCCTCCCGCATGTAGTTTTTTTCTTTTTAAAATATATCTTTTTTTAATTTTTAATCTAATTTAACTAAAATTTAAGTTAAAGTTGTCTTTGGACAAAAATGCTCTTAATAGACTGGAATATTTAGCTGGCTAGTGAGGTCAGGTCTTTCTTTGAAACTTCAATGGCCATTTCATACCCTTATTTGAAATTGTCATGGCCACTTAAGACTTTTTTTTTAAATAAGATCCATTTCAGGTTCTTATTTGGAATTTTCCTTTTATTTCAAAATAGCTCACCAACGAATATGTAAGGAATAGAAATATTCCAATCCCCTACGTAAAGCATTATTAAAAATAACTTAGAAACTAATAGATTTAGATAGAAAGAAACATAAAATAACCCAAATTTGATACCCAAATATTTGGGCCTAATTCCCTAAAAAACCCCAAACTTTAAATCAAGTCCCAAATCTGCCTTGAATTTTTTTTTTATTTCAGAAAAAAAACTCCAAACTTTAGGTCCAGTCCCAAATCTGCACCAAACTTTTTTTTGTCTAAAAAAAAATCTCAAACTTTAAGTCCAGTCCCAAATCTGCCTCAAAATTTGTTTTGTGTTAAAAAAAACACCAAAATTCAATTTATTTTCAAAAATATAACTCCCTGATTCAATCCCAACTTGATGTGGCACTTCCACATCAACAAAGTAATGTGGCTTTTTTTTAGACAAAGAAAAGTTCGGGGAAAATTTGGATTGAACCTAAAAATTGGGTTTGTTTTAAATTAAAAAAAAATTTGGGATAGATTTGTTATTGTCCCTAACTTTCATATCCTAGAACGGTTTGATTTTGGAGAATTTCAACAATTTTTATTGGGTTTGATTTGTTATCGAAGTGGAATGCGACATCGGTCTGTACATATCACCACATTACTTTGTTGATGTGGATTTATTATTAACGTGCAAGTGCCACGTCAAGTTGGGACTGGATCACGAGGTATATTTTTGAAAATAAATTGAAATTTGCTGATTTTTTTTATACAAAACAAAATTCGGGGCAGATTCGGGACTAAACTTAAAGTTTGGGGTATTTTTAAGACAAAAAAAATTTCGGAGCATATTTGGGATTGGAGCTAAAGTTTGGGGTTTTCTTCGAGACAAAAAAAAGTTCGGGGCAGATTTGATACTTGACCTAAAGTTTGGGATTTTTTAGGGAATTCACCCCAAAATTTGGTTTGACAACCTTGCTACAATTCTTGCTCTACTTCTGATAAATCAAAAAGTTATCTCTCACGTTCTACTAGTAAAGAAATTAAGATTTAAAGTCAAGTATTCCATTTCACTCGTCCATGCGAACATTCTGATGATGCGAACATTCTGATGATCGACTCGTGATTGTTAATTTTACCGCCTATCAATCTAGTAATTCCAAGACTTCATCGTCAATTATTTAAAATAAAAACTTTGGTACACCGATCACACCGAAAACAGCTATCTCAATAAATCTAACAATATATTTATATAATTCAAGGGGGGTAAAAACATGTTCCAATGTCTTTAATCATCGATAATAGTGTATATGAACAAATCGTGTAATCAGCACTCACTTTGACAAAGCCTTGTGTCTCCACAAACATGACGCAATCCGAGGCATCAAAATGTCAAAAACAAAAAGGTCAAAAAAAGACAAAAAAAAAAAGAAAGAAAGAATGAAAGAGGGTAAAAAAAAAAAGAAGGCATCCACCGCCAGCTACAGGGAAACCGACTCAGCCAGTCGCCCGAACCGCTCGACGAGCTCCGGCGCCAGCTTCCTGGCCGGTCTCTTCTCCTTCCCCGGTCGGAAATCGAACCCGAAGAACGCCTCCGCCACGTCTTCGGAGCTCCAACCCGCCTTCCGGAGCCGGTCCGAGAACCGATCCGCTTTCAAGAGGAGGGAGTCGAGGACCGCCTGACGATCCGCCATGCATGCCGTCCCGCCACCGGGAACGTCGCCGGCCGCCGACGAGACCTCCAGCATCTCCGACACGTCCGACTCGCTCCACCCTCCGCCCCGCAAGACCGACCCGATTCGCCCCATGTACTCGTCGACCCATTTGGGGAACTGGGTATCCGCCGGCAAGTCGAAGAACCTCTCCGGCGACGAGGAGGACGACAATGACGACGACGACGACGAGGTCCTCCGGCGGCGGTCGAAGGCGGCGTCGCTCCAGAACTCGACCCACCTCGTCGACCTCCCCGCCCCGCCGCCGCGGCCGTCCAGGCTTCGCCTCGCCCCGACAGAACTCTGCCTCTGGAGCGCGGCTGCTGCTTCTTCGGGTTCGTAGTCAGAGCTGCCGAAGAGCGACTCGCGGTGGAAGAAATCGGAGAGGTCCGAGCCGCAGCAGAAGACCCGATGCTCGTCGACGAAGAAGATGGGGTTCCCCGCGAGCGACGGAGCGGAAGGGATGTAGCAATGGTTGAAGATCGGTATCAAGATCGGAGCTTTCTTGAGGGCGTTCCTCGCGACCCGGAGAGACTTCTCCGGGTCGGGCGGCTTCGGGCCCCAGCATCTGGGCCAGAACGCGCTGCGGGCTACTTGGAGGGACACGGAGGCGATGGGGAGGTCGAGGGAGGCGCGGAGGTGGAGACGAGCCGGGCCGGCGGCGGCGCGCCAGTTGGGGAACCCGGGGCCGGCGGGGAGGCCGGCGGAGAGGACGGCTCGGAGGTCCGGGGGGAAGGAGAAGCCGAACTCGGCCTCGGCCCGGGCGAAGTCGGCTTCGGAGAGGCCGGGCTGGACCTGGACGCCGGAGCCGCGGAGGTGGGTCATGGCCTGGTTAGAGAGGGAGGAGAAGGAGAGGAGGCCGTTCCGGGAGGCCGCGGCGGAAGGGGCTGCGGCCGCGCGGGCGGAGAGGCGGCGGAGGCCGGCCACGTGGGCCGGGGTTATGCCGGTGATCCGCCGGTCCACGTCGACCATCGTGGGGGTGATCTCACTTCCCTTGTTGCTGCCGTTGATCGGTGGTTGCTTCAGCGGTTCATGTGCAACTTCGAAGTGAAGTGGAGAAACGTGGAGAGCTGGGAATGTAGAGCGCAAGAGAGAGAGGGAGGGAAAGCGATGTGGAGATGGATATTTATAGCAGATAGCAGATGTGTGTGAGAGAGAGAGAGAGAGAGAGAGAGATGAGGGTGTGTTCATGATTTGGTTAAGAGGTATGTTTTCATTCCAATCGTACTTACAGATTTGGGAAAGTTTGAACCCACATCCTAATTGATAAAGCGGAAAAATAAGCGTCCAAAAACGTTAAACTTATGACACTGCCCGTGAGATATTTACTCTAAATTTTTTTTTAGTGATACCAGAAATCTCAAATTTATATCTGTGCGACATATTTACCCTACGTTATTATTCCGTCAATGAGTACCGTTAAAAATCTACTTTCATGGACGGCGGAAAGCAAACTACGTTGGCATGGTTCAACCAAAACGACGTTGTTCTGATTAAAAAATCATCTGACTGAAATCTTGATTGGGCAGGTAAACGTTTTATATAGGTATAAGTTTGGAGTATTTAATGTCACGAGAAAAAGTTAAGAGTAAATATATCACGGTGGCTATAATTTGAGTTTTTTTATGTCGAACATAGTTTTGGATTTTCGATGGTTTTTTTCCCTTAATAAAATTACGACTAAGCTCAAACTAATAATTTTGTAGATAAGTACGCAATATATTAATACAAAGTATTGGAGATTTTAGCATCGCGTGCCTACATGATATATTAATTATAAGAAAATAAATAAAGTTAGAAGAAGCATCACATCAATTTCTTATAAAACGAGAATAAGCCAGCTCCGACAATATACAAATCCAGGTGTCAAGCTTAGAGGCAAACACATAGAAAAGTGTCTGTTATAATATGATTAATTAGATTCTTGGAGTAAGCTTGGGATCCAACGCTAAGGAAAAGGGTTTTTCGTGTACTTTTCCGTAAGCTACTGGTCAAAATCCTCTTAAGATTACATGATAAGGCTTTTGGAGTCCCTACTTTGCATGATCACAAGGGGATGTCGATCTATGTCTGGAATCCTGGACGGCATAAAGGAACCATGAATTCAAGGAGAAGAATGAGAAGAAATAGCTTCTTGTATGTTAGTACATTATCTTTTGGCAAGATGCACCATTCAAATACCATCAAGCATGGTAGCCCAATGATAAAGGGGACACATTGTTCCTCTAGGGATAAGTATAAAAAAGTCTTAAACTTATTGCATTGGTGCCAATTTAGTTTCAAACCTTTTAATCGTACCATTTTAGTCCTAAACTTTTTCATTTATGCCAATTGAGTATAGCTTGCCAATTTTGGCCAGAAATCGCTAATGCAGACGCCGGCCGTCCTACATGACACTGTTGGCACTGATATGAACAATTTTTACTAATATTTTAATATATTTTAGAATTTTTAATTTTTTTTTAAAATTTTTTTCCTTTCATTTTCTTTTTCTTTTTTTCTTTCCTTTCCTTTCTTTATTTTTTTTTCCAAACCCTGGCTAGCGATGGTCGCCACAGGCAAGGGCATTGGGTCCTCGCCCAGATCAGGCGAGTGCCGATGCCCTCACCCAGATGTTGCCTGTTGGTTGGCGAGGGTTGCAACTCCCTCGCCCAGCCCGGGCGAGGGTTATTGGCCCTCGCCTGCCGGCGATGGTCAGCTAGCGACCTCGTCGGCCAGGGTTTGGAAAAAAATTAAGGAAAGAAAAGAAAAAAAGAAAAGGAAAAAAGAAAATAAAAATTAAAAATAATTAAAAATTTGAAATTAGAAGAAAAAATTAAAATATTATTAAAAATTATCTATGTCAGCATTGGTTGTGCCGCCTAGGACTGTCAACGTCCGTGTCGTTGATTTTCGGTCAAAATTGGCCGGATGGACTCAATTGGTACAAATGCAAAAGATTTACGATTAAATTGGCCCAATTGAAATATTAAGAACTGAATTGGCATAAATTCAATAGGTTTAGGACTTTTCTTATACTTTTCCCTTGTCCTCCATGATGTCACAAATTTGATCCATGTTGTAAGCAAACTTGGGACTAGCTTGTGTCTTAGACATTTGCTACCGCATGCGAAGAAACTTCATAACTTCAACTCATTGAAGTCCTTTTTAAGTTCATCACCTCAGACCCGATTTGCGTGTTTCAGCACACACAGCTCATTTGAAAAAACTGCCAGGATCTCTTGCCCTTGTAAATATTCAACAACGATGGGATTGTGACGGAGGATGAGTAGGATGGGGATGAGGGGATTTATCATGTGATTGGCGTGGCCAGATGCTTTAAAGGGTTTGGACACCTAATACCAATATAGAAAATTCAATGCCCTCGTGGTGGCTTTTAATATATGTTGCGTGTGTTGGAAGATTAAGCTTTCTCAAAATATAATCAAGAGAATCTCCGCACGCTCTTCCAGATACGAATTGGTACATGTTTGAAAAGTTACTATAAGTTAAAGAGGCCTTCCACCTTCGGAGGCGTTACCTCATGTAACCAATAACCACTATGTTAAGGTACGCGCAAACGAGTGTTAGATAAAAGAGTCTTAGATTATAAAAGCGACGTGGTGTTAAGCAGCTAATGAGGCGGCGGCTAAGTGAATTTGGACTGTCGATTTGTGTTTTATTAGCACGTGTCGATTCTAGATGAATTTGATGTGTGAATCTAGGATCCAAACTTGAAAGCATTGGCCAGCTTTCTCTCTTGGGAAAATAAATAAAGCAATTCTCTTCGGTTGGTGACTGTGAGTCATCGAGCAACGGCTCTTTCCATTGGATTTGACGGGGGAAAGGAGCACGATGAAGCGTGAACCGACTCCCTTGGCGTTGTTCTTTGAAATTATTCTTAGTCAGTCTCGATTAGTCCAAAGTTAATACTGTTTAACTTTTGATTTTCTTACCCTTTTCTTCATCTCAGTTAAAAAGGTCCCAATCTGCAATCATCGAATGTTGAATGGGAGGAATAGAAAGGCTAAGGGCAGACAAGGATGATTGCCCCTCGTTGTAGGCTAACGTTAACCACTCTCTCTCTGTCTCTCTCTCAATTGTTGCGTATATTTTAAGGGAATAGGAGGGGGTCAGCTACTCAGCTTCACTAATGAAAGTTATGAACTAATCATTGGTCATCACGAAAGGATTAGGAACGAGGGATGCCCCTTGGGATTAGGACATTGCTCATTCCTTTTTGGGATTTAGCACTCTGGAGAACCAAAGATGTTATAAAGCAACATGCTTGGAATGATGAAGTTTTGTGTCTACATGCTTTGGAACGAAAAAGAGAACGTTGGACTGTTAAATTACCAGAGTCTTGCTCTCTAATCGTAGTTCGAGCAAACTCTAGAAAATCATCACAACTAGTAATTGAAAAACGTTTAGTGGATAACGACTAGCGTTGACGCTTGAACGATGCCAATTGCCTTATTGGAAATTAGGTTTAAGGTTTAGTTTATGGTATTTTCAGAAACTTTTGGTATCATAACAAGAGTTTAACACGATAATTATCAAATGGATGACATGTTGAAAATTCAGTTATCAAACTAACTCTCAAGCACACATGCCATACATCCAATTATGATTTCGTGTTTTTGTCATATGGCTTAATTATATTCCTTTTTTTCGGCTAGCAATATACTGCATTATTATCTTACTAATTTCCTACTACTGTGTTTCACAATCTAAGTTTAGGGTTATGTTCTCCTCAATCCCTAATTGGAGGAATTTCAACAAGCCTCATCATGGGTGCGTACTAATAGGAACATCACCGAACTTTATTATAGTTAAGTTTGCATGCGAGTGATATTCATATAAATTTGTAACCCACCATTAAGTTTAGTGTATAACAACTAGCATTGACGCTTGAACATTGCCAATTGCCCTATTGGAAATTAGGTTTAAGGCTTAGTTTAGGGTATTTTCAGAAACTTTTGGCAGCATAACAAGAGTTAAACACGATAATTATCGAATGGATGACATGTTGAAAATTCAATTTTCAAACTAACTCTCAAGCACACATGCCATATATCTAATTATGATTTTTTTTTTGTCAGATGGCTTAATTATATTCCTTTTTTCGGCTAGCAATATATTGCATTATTATCTTACTACTTTCCTACTATTGTGTTTCTCAAACTAAGTTTAGGGTTATGTTCTCCTCAATCACTAATAGGAGGAATTTCAACCAGACTCATCATGGGTGCGTACTAATAGGAACATGCATCACCTAACTTTATTATAGCTAGGTTTGCATGCAGGTGATGTTCATAAAAATTTGCAACCCCCCACCATTCAAGATTTGGTCGGAGGAAGTCTCTTTTAATTGGAGATGGAGAAAAATAGAACATCTAATGTGAGAGATAATCGCTCCAACAAAATTGGCCATTCGGGACACGGAACTTACGTCACTCGTGAGACTGCTACAGTGAGATGCATTTACCAACTCTTTTTGTGGCGCTTAGAAGCATATCATTTGTGAGTTTAAAGACCTTAAGTCGGGGCTTAAACACTAGGAAACATATTACCTTGTTCTCCACCTGTTTCCAGTGAATGTTCTTTGGGATATCTACAAGCTATGTAGTGGTGTATCCCAAGTTTTTTTTTTTTTTATCAAATATCCCAAGTTAGATCTCCAACAGAAATCAAAGAAGTTTCTCGCTACACTTGTGGAGCAAACACTAGACAGCTGCTTTATCACCGTCCTCGTCAATAAGAATGAAAAGAAAAGTCCTGCCTTTTTGACTGTGTCCGCTTTTTGGAAGCATCAAGATGGTTACCGAAATGAAAGGGAAAGGCTTGTTTCCTTTCGAGAGCTACCCGTCGTTGTTGTTGAATAGATCCCGTTTCTGAAAGCGATAGTAACTTATTAAATGCAGAAAGCCAGAATTTATGCATCGTACCTAAGCCCCACGAAAGGTTGAAGAGAAGAAAGAGGTTGGATTTGATGTAAAAGAGATGCTTTGTACTGATTCGAATGCCGGCCATGGCTAGTTCTGAAATAGAATTTGTGTACCGATTCTTATCGGTGCACCAATTTGACCTGTTCTTGCGAACGAATAACATGGCCTTCGATTGCCTCGTTTCTTTTGTAAAAAAATTGACATTTGTAAAGTATGTTTTCTAATAAGTTATTTACAGGGAAAATGATAATATTTTTCGTTATTTGACTGAAATTTAAAAATGAATTGAAAATCATTTTCTATCATTTGAAGAGAAAAATTTGCTTTCGTTTTTCTAAGAAACATATACATTATTTGTGTGATATAAAGACCGATTTAAATGATATGCACTTTTATTCTCCGTTCGACCAACCCCTTGTAAGATAAGTGGGAGGCACTTCACGGAAAAGTGAACTGTGTAGTGACAAAATGACACGTCAAAATGCAATGTCATGAGAAAATTATCAGACAGAACCTGCTAGAGTATGTATTAGCCGCCAAAAATTAGAACTTGTATTACAAATGCGACAAACTACTGCGAAGACAGAAATTCTATCGTCCATGATCGTAGGATTAAAGAAGGAAAGGCTGTACTGAATTAGACAGCTAAACAAAAATGAAAGTAAGCTTAGCGGAAGGAAATACGTGAATGAATAGATAGGGAAGGCCAATTAGGCCATGGACATTGTGGGCATCCGTATTTACAAATTGGTCGCGTTGTGTTCAGAATTTCAGATATGTACATATTAATTGGGAGATTTTATGAGACCACAATTATCTGTTCTAAAGCTTGAACTGTTTAATGAAGGTGTGAATTGATATTTAAATATTCTATTACTTCCACTCAAGTTTAGTTTGGTCTTTTTTTGCTTAATACTAAGCGTGGAAATATTTTATTAGGAAGGCAAATAGAGACCCAAAAAGATGTGAACTCGGGATCTCTCATTTTGATACTATGCGAGATTTTGTGGGACTACAATTAATTATACTAAAAATTTAAGCTTTTAAATGAATATGTGATTTAATATTTAGATATTCTATCACTAATAATTCGAAAAGGAGATTATACAAAGATTAGGTCCTTCATTTGCATGAGGTCTTTCGCTTGGCCTCCAAGGACTCAGGCCTGGCCACCAGGGTCTGGAGCTCGAGAGTCAAGGACCTCGGCCTCAAGGACCCTGGCATCAATCCTTGTGTTCCTCGGGATCAAGTGGCTGGGTCTTGGGCGTTGGAGCTAGAGGTTCTTGAGCTCAGTTGTTGGGAATTTGGGCATGGGTGGAACTTGTGCTCAACCTTGGTGGACCTGAGCCCGGGTGTCGGTAATTTGGGCATGGGAATTGGGGCGTGACCTGTGGGGATTAGGGCATGGGCATCGGGGTCTTGGACATGGCCTTAAGGGACCCGGGCCCTGACGTCGAGGACATGAGCATAGACGTGATCCTCGTGCCCACGCGCCGGAGTCTAACCGTATTTTGAAAAATAAGATTTGATTTTTAAAATAAGAAATCATTTTTCTGAATTTACCTATAGATTTTCTGTTGACTCTGAAAAGATATTCCGTTGACTTATTTTTCTAAGCGATCCAAATGTCGGAAAATTAGACAATTTATTGAACAATGAGACTATGTAATTGTAAATTCCTGCTACAAAGCCTATTCACATCATAACCAACGATACATGCATTCGACACGGCACACCTTACAATCTTAATTTCACGTGGGTCTGTTATGAAAATCGTCATTTCTTGGGACAGAGTCCATGCGCCTCAAGTTATCATTCGAAGCAAGAATAACACTGAGCATGCTTAGATTGGTTTATAAAGTTGATATTACTAAGATTACTCAAAACAAGATTAATATTATTAACCATGCTCGGATTGGTTTATAAAATTGATATACTAAGACCGAGGAATTTGTTTGGGCTGAACAACACCTTGTGGGGGTGGAATGTGTCTGCTCTTTTTGATACTCGAGTTATCTTGGAATGTTTATCATGTTTGATCCGCTGGAAATAAGGAAATCACTTTGCTACTTTAAGCTGGAAAGAGACTTTGTCTTCTGATTCTTCTCGATGCACCAATTTTCTTTTATGTCGAACGCGTTCAAACATCAGAGCCCACTTATGGAGCATCAAAACATAGCAAGTCCCAAAGGGCCTACGGAGGAAGGGCTGGTCAATTCTGGAGAAGGGCTTTTTCTCTTTACGCCTTTGCATTCCAATCAGCTACTCTATTAGTCTCTCTACTCCGATGGGCTAAAGTTAGATATGAGAAGTTGAGCAGCAGATCACGGGCCTCGGAGATTAGTGTGCGCACTTCCTACACGAACTGATCTGCAGACTTCAAAGACTTCATCAAACTCAAACAGTCAAGACTCGAGTTGAATGCCTCGTGTCTTCTAGAAAAGAGAAGCTTGAGGGTGTCCCCCATTGCTAGGGTTTCAAGCTTGATTTGCAGAGGACAGGTGGGTCGATTTTCGCGAACCCCTCAATGAGAGTCCCAGAGGAGTTATGACATACAGCGGGCTATCGCTCCTTCGGTTGTTTCAGGTACGTGAGGTCCGTCTGTCAACCTGCAGAGCACCTTGCTTTGGAGGGATCCATTCTGGAGGTGAGTTTATCTCCTGTGTTTCCCTGCTACAAGTACATAGATTTTGTCTGTGTACCTATGTAACGAAAGATACTTCTTTTCCTTCTTCTATTTCCTTCTTTCTTTCTTTCTTTTTTTAAATTTGTAATAGGTAAGTCCTCTTACAAAGCCTATTGTTACTTTGGTCCAAGTCCAAGACTATCTTTGCATGGCATTATTGATCACGTTAATTGGAAACTCACCGAACAAGGGAATGTTATGGCGTTTTGGCTCTGAACGGAAAAAAAAAATTGATAAGAGTTACTGAATTTGATTCATAAATCCAGTTATAAAGTGATACAAAAATCTCTAAATGAATCATGATTATGTACGCAATGACTCCTTATTGTGCCAATAATTTCTGAAGCATGGGTCGGTCACACCATAACAAAAGCCGGTATTACTATGCAACAAGCAATACTTAAATAATCTCTCAAATAAATCTCCCCTGACCCTGTATACCAGTATTTACAAAACTAAAAAGGAAAAGAAAAGATCGCATCAAATCTCATCTAATTTCATGTTAGGAAACACATGCTCTCTATTCTTTTACGATGAATCAATTGCGTGGACCAGAGTCCAAAGCGGGTTTTGATGAGGCTCTCAGGCTTAATGCGATCGAGAACTTTCTAACGTACATTAATTTACTGTACATTGTTCAAATCCAACCATTGAGATTTGTCAACTAATCAATTATTCTGTCAATTAATATCATCCAATGGCTGACTGTTGATGGTGTACAAGAATAATTTTGTAATGCAGAAGCGTTAAACGCGACCATCACCAGTCATTGGTAGAAAAGGAAATCAATGTGATTGAAGGGCTTGAATAGTCGGGGGTTTGTCTGAAAGTTTTACTCTGCATTTTTGCAGGCACTTTTGCTGTCAGAAAGATTCAAAGTGTTCTTTACTTCATTACGTTATATATCCACCAATGTCTCGACCTCTCTTGCTAAACGAAAATAACATGTGTCCAAGGTTGTGCCAAATGGGTGGACTCAGGGTTCCAAAACTAGCTTGGCCAGAGTAAGACTGAATAAGCGAAGGCCAATATGATGAAGATCTCTTACTGTTTCCCGAAAAGATATCTTATGGTCAATCAGTTATTCAGACCGAATCTATCTCCACCATTGATCACATCTGTGAAAAATAAGCTGATGATAATTGTCATGAAGCAAGGATAACGAATCACTTATTGGAAAGAAACAACGGAAGCTCCAATAATTTCATTAGGTGGGTGGATTACATTGCACGAAATATGCTTTAAATAACATTTGCATTGGAAAGACCCCTGAATGCCTCTTTATTTTAGATAACAGAACAAAGAAGATTGAGAGACAGCAATCTCCTCAAACTTCATCTTATTTCACATTGGAGGCATATACCGGATTCATTCTGAAGCAATATCATGCGGGCTAATTGGCCAGGACTCCGCAGCTGGACTTGATGAGGTTGTCGCTACAGTCATGGTGGCTAAGGAGATCGATGTGATTGAAGGGCTTGCATTGCTGTGGGTGAGCTTCGTCAATGAACTCCTTGGGCGTCTCGATCATCCCTGTGACGTACGAGAATGCCCCAAGAGAGTATCTCACTTGACTCTCTTCAGTAACTGCCACTCGGTGGTCACAAGCCTTGATCCTTCCATTGCTCCATGCCTGATCATGACCGAACCACACAAAATTAGAAATGACTTCAATGAACTAGTGCTAAGAAGAATTTGCACGAGCAAATAAGTGACTCACCGCACATGCATCACCGGCCATGACCATGAAATTCGAAGCTGAGGGCTCGAAAGTGAACCACTCACCATCTTTGGTCCTCACTTCCAAGCCCCTAATGTTGTTCTGGTGCAAGTAGGACAAGAAGCTCTTGTCCGTGTGCTCGGTCGGGTTTACGCTGGCCTCGACGCCTTCCGGTTTCTTGTACTTCAAGAATCGTAGGAGGTACGAGCTGGAATCATGATGCCGAAACGCGATAGAAAAATTGATGAACAAGAAAATTCGTCGGAAGAACAATTCGTCCTCCAAATATGATTATCAAATCAAAATTATCCAAGTCTCCTGAAAAGAAACCCTAAAACAAGTTTATATAACCCCAAACGAAGCCCTACTAGGATTAGGAAACATCAAAACGTAAAATTACGAAACTACCCTTTACTAAATTAACCCATAAAAAATACTAAAAAAATAGAAAAACCCATCTAAACAATCTCGAATCGCGAAAATCCATCGTTAGTCACGGCCAAAGGCGGTGAGTATTGATCAAGCACGCCGTTTCGCTTCAGCCGACCAAATTTGAGCTCAATCCGACATCGTTGACTTCAAACCCGCTCGATTCGTCTAGTCGCATAACGGGTCCGTCGGTCCCCATTAGGTTAGGTGCATCATCCTCCTTGCTAGAGAAAGATTCGTCCTCGAATCCGTTTCGCCTTCATTGTTGTTGTCAATCTCCTCGGGATCTTCTTCCTCTTCATGGTAGTAAGGTGACAAATCTGCTACATTAAAAGTTCGGATACATTATACTTACCCGCAATTCGATCTTGTAAGCATTGTCACTAATTCGCTCCAAAACTCGAAAGGTCCATCAGCTCTAGGTTGAAGCTTGCCAAACCTACCCGCTGGAAATCGTTCCTTCCTAAGGTGAATCCAAACTAGATCACCTTCCTTGAAGACAACTCTTTTCCTGCGCATATCCACGCGTTGCTTATACTTCATGTTCTGCTGTTGATCGATTATGGACACGAGAATGCAGTTCTTTGATATGCTTTGCATGTTCTTCACTTCCGAACTAAATTGCTTGAGCGGTATCGTGTAAGATCTAAGGGAGTAATTGGATTACGCCCATAAACCACTTCGAAAGAAGTCTTGCCGTAGTTCGGTTCTCGACCTGTTATATGCAAATTCCGCCCGAGGCAATGTCAAGTCCCACTGTCGCGGATTATCTCCAATCAAACTCCGCAGCAAATTCCCTAAGCTTCGATTGACAACTCTCGTTTGACCATCGATCTGTGGATGATGAGATGAACTAAATTTCAAACTTGTACCCATGTACCTCCAAAGAGTGCGCGTAAGTGACTCACGAATTTCACATCACGATCCGAGGTAATGGATTTAGGAATTCCATGCGGCTTAACAATTTCTGCAGAAATAATCGAGCAACCTGTGAAGCATCATAGGACTTGCTACACGGGACAAAGTGGGCAATCTTCGAGAATCTATCAACAACCACCATTATTGAATCCTTACTCCGTTGCGTTCTTGGTAAACCCAAGACAAAGTCAAGACCGACATCCTCCCACGGTGCAACTAGAACAGGTAGAGGCATATACAATCCTGCATTAGTACTCTTGGTCTTTGCCACATGACATACCCCTGCACCTCTCTATAAAACGTGTCACGTCACGCTCCATCCGAGGCCAATAAAAGTGTTCACTCAACAAGGCCTTCGTTTTATCCACGCCAAAGTGCCCGGCTAAACCACCCGCATGTCCCTCAATAATAATAGATTCCCTCAAAGAACATTGAGGAACGCACAACTGCTACCTTTAAATAGGTAACCCTTCACGATCTGAAATTTGAAAAGGCTCCGTTTTGCTCTTCCTCTAGATATCCCCAAAATGAGGATCATCAACATATAAATCTTTAAAAGTGTCAAAGCCTAGAACTTTTACCTTCATCGTAGACAGCAAAGAGTGTTTTCGGCTCAATGCATCCGCCACACTATTTAGCACTCCGCCTTATGCTTGATGGAAAAGCGAAAACTTAAAGGAACTCCACCCACTTTGCATGCCTTGCATTCAATTTGTGCTGCCCATTGATATATTTCAAGGCTTCATGATCGAGAAAACAAGATAAACTCTTTCGAAATAAGGTAGTGCCTCCAATGCTCCAAACTCCTCACAATAGCATAAAATTCTTTATCATAAGTTGAATATTTCCTTTTCGCCTCATTCAACTTCTCACTAAAGAATGCCACGGGTTTACATTTTTGACTTAGGACACCCCCAATACCAACACCGAAGCATCACAATGCACCTCAAAAATCTCATTAAAATCGGGAAGCACGAGAACAGGTGCTTGTCACCTTCTTCTTTAATAATTGAAAGGCAGCTTCGCCTCCTTAGTCCACACAAATTTACTTCCTTTGACAATCCGTCGGAGGTGCAATAATAATCTTGAAATCCCAAATAAATCTCCGATAAAAAGACGCAAGCCCATGAAAGCTACGTACCTCATGAATATTTTTCGGAATCTCCCAATTTGTAATAGCCTCAACCTTAGTTGGGTCCATATGAATGCCTTCCTTAGTTACTATATAGCCCAAAAAGGTCACACGATCAGTCAAGAAGTGACACTTCTTGGTATTAGCGTATAATTTCGTTCCCTTAACGTCTCAAACACCATTCTCAAATGCGCAAGTGTTGATCGGTCGATACACTATAAACCAAAATATCATCGAAATATACGACGACAAAGCGGCCAATAAAGGGACGAAACACGATTCATCAATCTCATAAAGGTGCTCGGTGCGTTAGACAACCCGAAAGGCATCACCATCCACTCATACGGACCATCTCGAGTTTTAAAAGCGGTCTTCCACTCATCTCCAGACGCACCCTAATCGATGATATCCACTCCTCAAGTCTATCTTCGAAAAGATAGTCGCTCCATGCAGTTGATCAATTAAATCATCAAACCGGAATAGGAAAGCGATACCGATCGTGATCTTGTTAATAGCTCTGCTTGTCCACGCACATTCTCCACGACCCGTCCTTCTTAGGAACCAACAAAGCCGGCACCGCACAAGGGCTCATGCTCTCTCGAATTGCACCTTTTTCTAATAGTTCATGCACTTGCCTCGCATCTCCTCATGCTCCTTAGGATTCATTCTGTAAGCTGCCTTGTTAGGAATAGTAGCTCCTGGAACGAGATCTATACAATCTTGAATGTCCCTCATGGGTGGCAATCCGGTGGCAATTCCTCCGTACGACATCAGCAAACTCCTCAAGTATAGGTAGAACTTGAGTTGAAATTTCTGGACTATCAAGATTCGCTCCACGACCACGACAAAGAAAAAGCTCGGGGCATTTATCGCCTCCTCCCGGAACTCGATTTGGAAAGGGTTACTTTTCCCTTCTTTTCTCAAATCGAAGGACCCGAGTAATGGTCCGGCCATCCTTCTTGAAGGTGTAGGTATTTTTGAATCCATCATGCTTTGTGTTTTCTGTCAAATTGCCAAGGCCTCCCCAACGAATATGACAAGCATCCATTGGAACTACGTCACCCCACACTTCATCGTATATTTCTTCCCAATCGAGAACGCACTAAGCACCTCTTGCTCACTTTTACCTCATTCCCCTTCCTAAGCCATGACGGCTTATATGGTCGAGGATGTTCGCTGATTTTCAACCACAACTTTTCTACCATAATGGTAGATATTACATTCTCACAACTTCCCCCATCAATGATCATACTACACACCTTTCCCCAACTAGTGCACTTAGTATGAAATATATTATGCCGAGCCACGATTCATCATCTACCTCAGCAATATTTAAAACCCGACGCACAACTAAAGACTCACCGGAATCGGCATAGATAATGTCCTCCGGATCCGGATCCGCATCGCTTGCTCGCCTTCCGATTCATCATAAATTGGGTCTTCATCGAAAGTTGGATTATCTTCAAGTGTCACAAAGCTGTCGGTTCAGACAATCGCAGCAAAATGCCCGAGTCCTTGACACTTAAAACATCGCTTGCTTGCAGCTCCTCCCCGCTAGATCCAAGACTACCCCGCTTCTCTCCTTTTGTTGCAGATTTTGAACCGCGCCCTTAACGCGCGGATGAAGAACTCCCTGCTTTTCCCGGGACTCTTTATCTCGTCCACTTGGGCTGCCCGTCCACTTAGAACCGCCGCTAGACCACTTGGACTTACCGCTTTTTCTTTTAAAGCTCGCCCTTCCACCTTTTGGGCTAGTCCGCACACATCCTCATATGTCCAATACGCTACAATTGGACAACATCGATATCTCATATCGCACGTATGCTAGATATCGTGCAATCGTCTCGCTCTGTTCTTCAATTTCTACGTCTCGAGATCTCTTAGACGCGGTTGATCGTCCGTCAGAACGCCTCCACGCCCCGGCCACCACGAGCCCGCGCGTCCACGACCGCGATTCTGTTCAGCCATTGATTCAAGCAACCCGTGCTCGATAACAATTGATGCCGAAACGCGATAGAAAAATTGATCGAACAAGAAAATTCGTCGGAAGAACAATTCGTCCTCCAAATATGATTATCAAATCAAAATTATCCAAGTCTTTGAAAAGAAACCCTAAAACAAGTTTATATAACCCCAAACGAAGCCCTACTAGGATTAGGAAACATCAAAACGTAAAATTACGAAACTGCCCTTTACTAAATTAACCCATAAAAAATACTAAAAAAAATAGAAAACCCATCTAAACAATCTCGAATCGCGAAAATCCATCGTTAGTCACGGCCAAAGGCGGTGAGTATTGATCGCACGCCCGTTTCGCTCACCGACCAAATTTGAGCTCAATCCGACATCGTTGACTTCAAACCCGCCGATTCGTCTAGTCGCATAACGGTCCGCCGGTCCCCATTAGGTTAGGTGCATCAAATCAATGTAAGGGTCATAGCATTTCTCAACACCATAGTTCTCACAGACCATTTTGAAGACTACTTTCTCCAACTCAGCTATGAACTTGCCATAGTCATGAACAGCTTTACTGCAGCCAAACAACAAAAATAGAGAAATTAAATTAGAGAAGTCGACTTTAGCGGGCCGACTTTCTCAATACCCTAAAGCCAAAAGTTGAGACGCTAAAGCTTTGTAACTCGGGTCATATTATGTAAAACAATCATGCTTGTCATGCGAGATCGTATATAAAACAAGAAAATCATTTAGTGTACTACCAAGGCATGAAAGACTCAGCGCTGGAGGTGTTGTACAACAACACAGCAATATATAATTTGGGTCGTTTAGTTGGACAATATTACATATTCATAAAAAAGATATCATAGTGACTCGTTTTCTATACCTCGAATGATTTTGTCTATATTGTCAAGCTAAGACTAAGTTTATTATACACCACTGTAATTTCTCCACGGAGACAAGATGAAGGTGGTCTGCTTATCAAAGCATTAGAATCCAACAAGAAATATGTTAGTCCTAAACATAATAATATAGGCTTACAAAATGTTGATAAAGAGTGATGTTGCAGATGATTCGAAACCTCTGTTACAAGAGTTTGCCACATCAATATTGTGAATCCACGTTAGCATATACACGGTTAGTATTACACGAAAAAGGGAAAAAGATTAGTACCAGAAGTGGTCATTCCCAGAGGGCCACATGAGAGAGGTGAACTTTTCGCACTCTTGGAGCTTCTCAGCGCCATCGATGGTCAGGGCCTCGATGAGAGGAGAACCGGGGGTAGTGCCAACCACGCCAAGGGGACGCTTGTAGTTGGTGTTCTTAATCTTGGTTTCGGCGGGGAGGTCGAAGAGATCCTCGGTGACGCTAAAGACAGAGTCATGAAGGCCAAGAGGGGCATTAGGGTGATCGACAATGAAGCAACCATGATCCTGGAGAGCCTGCACCATCACTTTGCAAGCTTCTGCCCAGGAACTTGTCCCTGGTTTCATGCATTCCTCGGAGAACACTATCACCGGGACCTGGGACGCCATTTTTGTGCCTGCCATCTCTCTCAGCTCTCTCTCTCTCTCTCTCTCTCTTGATCGGGTGCTGTTTGCGGGGTGAATTGCCAGAGCGTGTTTGACCTTTTTATAGGCAACCGAGGGAGAGCTTTTTCACGTTTTCTTGGTCCAAACTGAGTGTGGGAAAAAAGACAAATTATACGTGGGAGTGTCCACGCGTGACATAACTTTCTCCCGGAAAAATTATCTAAAAAGTCATAAACCTATTATATGACGGTCGATTCTGTCCTAAACCTTTTAATTGTGCTAATTTAGTAATAAACCTTTAAACAACTTGTCAATGTAATCATAAACTTTTCAATTCTACCAATTTAATCTTAAACATTTTGATAATTTATCAAATTAGTCCTAAATCGTAACGATTGGCCAACATTCCAGCCATTTTTTACCGAAAATCTTTAACGTGGTAGTCTAGTTAGCGCCGATTGTCCTATGTGACTCGGCCAACGCTAACGTAGACAATTTTTACATTTTTTTATTTTATGAATTTTTTTCTTTTCTTTTTCTTTGTTCTTTTTCTCTTTTTCACTCCGTCGGCCATCTCTGAGCCTCATTGATGGCCGGAGGCAAGGGCCGCCCTCGCCCTCGCCTAATCTGGCGAAGGGCTGCCCTCGCCAGAGGCCGGTGGAGGTCATCGGCTATCGACGAGGTCCTACGATGGCCAGCAAAGGGAAAAGGGAAAATTAAAAAAATTAAAAAACTGAAAAATTGTCCAAGTCAGGGATTTCTTATCAAAATTGGCCTGAATAACTAAATTAGCAAATTGTTGAAAAGTTTATGACTAAATTGACAAATCATCAAAAGTTTTAGGACTAAATTTGCACAATTGAAATATTTTGGATTGAATTGGTAAGTTATTAAAAGGTTTAGGACTAAATTGGCTTATGACTGCATTGGCCACTGTTAAATATGTTTATCACTTTTTGGATAAATTTTCCTTGTCTCGAGTGGAGAAATTATTTCTAGTGAGCTAATCCTTCCGCTAACCTTTCTAGCAAAAACACTTTTTTTCCCCGCTAATCTTGGGATCCGATCGAATCCACGTGAAGGGTACATGCGACCAACTATTTTCAGTAATTCTATTCAGGTAGGTACACATACTACAATTATGTAATAATCTCTCCTCTAGTGGAAACGTGCTTGTAAAGTAAATACTCCTACAATGACTTTTTAAATTAACGTAATGTCCTTTCATCCAATAATTTAAGATCGACGTTCACATGTATTTCCTCGATTTTGCATTAATATAGCTTTGCCAAAATAAATGGGAGATCACGAAATCAGCATCAGCAAGCGAGATAATATTTAGCATCGGGATAAGTTAATTATTCGCCAAAGACTTTCAAGGTTCATTGGGGATATGCATTGCATTTTGTTAAAAATAAAAGATCTTGTCATTAATCACTTGAGCTTGCTGAAAAAATATATAAATTGTCCATATACAAGGCAATGATTGGCCCCCCAAGAAAGTGTCCCCCAATTATGAACTGCTTAAACCTAATTATGTCTCTATATTAATCCAAATAATCCATTAGGTGGTCCATATGACGTCCCCGATCCACGTGTTTGACAGCGCCACATTGTCCATATTCAACAATTCTGGAAGTCATCTTCCTTTTCGCAAGTGAAAATGACGAAAAAATTGATATGGTTCCCTCATGCAAATCTGCGGAAATTGCTAATTAAATATATATTCTGTCTCACTCTCAACCTAAACCTAATTCTGATGTATCTCATCCCAATTTTTTATCTTGTTGAGGCTCCAGTAATGGAATAATGTAATTCGAACCATCCCTTTTGTTTTGGATCGAAAGTAAATATTTCATTCATATCTCATGATGATACATGAGAGGTTCAAAACAAATCAAATCTCAAACAACATAATAGAACAATAAAGCACAAATTGCTGCGATAAGCATACTCTCGTTCCATAAGAATAGATATGTTTCGGCATCAAAACAGAATGAACGGCGACCAATCACCAAATTTCACATCATCATAAGTGATGAACACACAACATAATCTCCTTTTTCAATAACCACGGCGGTGCTTATATAGGTTCAGCATCCTCAACACCATCACCGTACGAAGAAACCAAAAACAGGTTGAACAAGCTCCCAAATTTAGATCTAGGTTGGGAGGGATTGAACAAACGCGGAAACGTCTCTAAGGAACTCCCAAATCTAAATCTAGATTGGGACATGAGAGCTTCTAAAACTCAAAGAAGTCATATAGATGCTTTCAATGTAGTATAAACTCACTGTGTTGCTCCTTGATCCCGTCAAACTTCTTGGTTTGGAGGATTTGAAGCGGAAGTTTGATTCCTAACAATGGAAGCGGAAGATAAGCCCAACAAGCAAATAAGAGCATCAACAACGAGCAATGGAAAAAAAAAAACTAGATGAAAACAATAAAATACTTCCAAATCAGATCGGAAGAGAAAATCTCAATTCGAGTTGAATAGATAGAGCCTCCCTCGATTGTAAGTTATATCTCAGTCGAGGGAGCTTGGAATGGAAGAGAAAAAATAAACCGGAGAGAGGTAAATTGCGAACCATCCCTTTCACTCGCACAAATATTTCGCTGAGAGACTAATACACTTTATGTTCACATCATAGAAATTTTCACGACTATCTTCAAGAATTACATAACTAGGTCTATGTTCACCCTAAATCAATTTTGATGATTGTAACACTAATCTTGTCCCATTCTCAACCTAATGTTGATGTATTTCATTTCAATACTTTAATTTCTATGGATGGCATCTTGTCATTCACGTGTTAATATTTTACACATACCCAACTTATGGCGTTCTCAGAAATTGGGTTATCATGTAGATTTTTAAATGGGTAGCAAATACAAAATTTGTTTAGTCCCTATCAACTGATTACTATATTACAAGTGGCCATTTTTTTTTAATAGTAATAGGGCAGCATGTGGATGATAACATTGTTTTGTCAAGATGTGAATGTTTATATTTTCCTCACCTGCTCTAATTTTGGCTGCATTGATCGAGTGCATTTACCATGCACTTTGTCTGTTACTTACGCATGATATATATGTCATTTTAGCCGTGATTTCGACTAAGACGACTTTGAAAGCCGTGATTTCGATCAAAAAGTTTTATCCAATTCCTTTGGCAGTGCCAGTGTCAGTTCTTTGGCCGCAAAATGATCAACATGGTCAATGTTATTTTCAGGACTTACAAAAAATTTGACCATTTCATTCAAGAAATATTCCTCATAAGAGTCGAACGGAACTTGCCTCGACATCAAACCAAGCCATTTGGGATGGTAATGGATTAACGTCACTCAAACTATCACTTTTGCTCAAGCAAATATTGTCGCTATGTATTTTTCAAGAATGTAATTAGCAAAGAGGAAGTTATTTAATTAGAAATTATTGATACCAACATATCTAGAGAAAAGCTCCATATGATAGCGTTTCATTAAATATGAGAAAATTGTCCAAAAAGTCCCAAACCTATTATACTTTTTCCAATTCAGTCCTAAATATTTTAATTATGCAAATTGAGTCCTAAACCTTTTCACGTTTTGCCAAGTCCATCCGGTCAATTCTGACCGGAAATCATTGATGTAGAATTCGGCTATCATACGTGGCACGGAATATGTTTAAATAGTCACTTACAATGATTTCGCACAATGAATAACGTGGCATTATAATGAATATCGCTTTTGGTAAAATGTTTAGAACTAAATTGCAATATCATCTAAATGTTTAGGACTAAATCATCACAATTAAAAGGTTTAAGACTAAATTAGCACAATTGAAAGGTTTAGGAATTGAATTAGTCATGCTACAATAAGTTTAAAACTTTTTTGATAATTTTCCTGAAAGTAAACTAGTCCACAAGCATGCGCTTTTGCTTCAAAATTGGTCAATCATAATTTGCCTTTTTTTTTTTTGGCACTCTTACTGTTTTTATCTCGTGGAAGGAACAGCAGATGGAAGCATCGCGTGTGTAGATTATTCAGGGAGAATAGTAGAAGGATTTGCGAAAATTGTGAGACTGTCTTCAGCTGCACAGTTGGAAATTTTAGCATATGTGGAAGCCAAGGATCTCTTCAGTACCCGAACTAAACTGAAACTAGTTTTGGAATTTGATAATTGGGCTGCTTTGAGAAGTACACTTACCGATCACGATCTGCCAGCTTGAGACGTGGAACCTCTCATCACCGAATGCAAGAGTATATCAGCCCATTTCCAAGATATTCATGGAGTGATTGTTTCAGAGAGGCCAATGAAGTAGTAGATTGGGTCGTAAAGGCCCAAAGGTGCGAAATCCTTGTAATTGGCTTGCTAGTCCTTCTCAACTTTTAGGGGACCTGTTATGCTCCGACGACCATTTAGCTTGTACTCATGGGATTACTTGAAGGAATGAAGGTGGACTGATTCAGACTGAGAAAACATAAGGGTTTGAATTGATTTTTTTTTTCTAGTGGTGCTGCATATTATTGGACTAGGAAAGAAATTAATACCAGGTTCCAACATACACGCGCACCATCCCATGATGAATGCTCTAGACTTACATTGCATCAAATATCCACCAATGTCTCGATCTCTCTCGCTCAATGAAAATAACACAGTGTTCAAGGTTGTTCCAAATTGGGGTACTAAAAAACTGGCTTGGCCTGAGTAACAATGAATAAGCGAAGGCCAATGAGATGAACATCTCTTCCTAATTCCCCAAAAAATATTGTATGCTCTTTAAATTATACAGACCACATGCATCTCCATCTTCAATCACCTTTGACCTTTGCATACCTCTTTATTTTAGAAAACAGAACAAAGAAGATTGAGAGACAACAATCTCCTCAAATCTCGTCTTATTTCACACTAAGAGCATGCACTCTATTCATTCTGATTTAATCACGAGGGCTTATTGGCCTAAACTCCGCAGAAGGACTCGATGAGGCTTTCGCCCTTCATGCGGTCGTCGACAGAGTCATAGTAGAAAAGGAAATCCATGTGAATGAAGGGCTTGTATAGCCGAGGGTGTGCTTCGTCGATGAACTCCTCGGGCGTCTCGATCATCCCTGTGGTGTACGAGAACGTAGCAAGAGAGTATCTCACTTGATTCTTTTCTGTAACCAACACTCGGTGGTCACAAGCCTTGATCCTTCCATTGCTCCATGCCTGATCAAGAATGAACCCCACAAAATTAGAAATGATTTCAATGAACTAGCGTGAACTGGTACTAAGAAGAATTTTCAAGCAAATAAGTGACTCACCACACATGCTTCACCGGCCATGACTATGAAAGTGGAAGCCGAAGGCTCGAAAGTGAACCACTCGCCGTCTTTGGTCCTCACATCCAAGCCCCTAATGTTGCCTTGGTGCAAGTAGGACAAAAAGCTCTTGTCCGTGTGACCAGTCGGGTTCACACTGACCTCGACGCCTTCCAGTATCTTGGACTTCAAGAGTCGTAGGATGTATGCACTGGAATTGATGTAAGGGTCATAGCATTTCTCGACAGCATAGCTCTCGCAGACCATCCTGAACACTACTTTCTCCATCTCAGCTATGAACTTGCTATAGTCATGAACAGCTTTGCTGCAGCCAAAAAAAGAAAAATGAGAAATTAAATTAGACAAGTCAACTTTAGCACTTGCTCTCGTTTATTTATATTTTCTCGATACCCTATAGCCCAAAGTTGACATGCTAAAGCCAGTTGGAGAAACGTCTGTCTTGCGGGATCGTTTAATAAAGTAAGAAAATTGTTAGGTGTACTCGCAAGGCATATAAAAGTTGGCATATGAACTGAATAAAACGGTTCAAATTAGATGGGTGTTTCGAGAAGTGAGCTTGGAAGCATGACATAACGAGCTTTTTTACATATAAAATATGCACAATCATCAGACTTTATTGCATATACCAATTTTCAAACATCTTCTTAGTAATGGATTCATAAAACAGTAGGAGAAAGATCAGGACATCGAAGTGGGAGGGGAGTCGTTAATTCAAAAAGCACAGTGAATAGTGATGTGCACATGGAGGATTAAGAGTGGAGAAATGGGAGAAGGCACTTCCCATGTGATGTCCCGGTGTTTAAAAAATTCGAAGGAGTTGATAACATATACATGATTGCTATGGAGGTATTGTTCAAAGCATATCCGGTTAGTATTATCCTAAAAGGGAAATTGGATTAGTACCAAAAGTGGTCGTTCCGGGAGGGCCACATGAGAGAGGCGAACTTTTCGCAGTCTTCAGGCTTGTCGGGGCCGACGATGGCCAGGGCCTCGACAACGGGAGTCCCGGGGATCTTTCCGGTATAGCCAAGGGGAGGCTTTAAATTAACGTTCTTGATCTTGGTTTCGTAGGGAAGGTGGAAGAGATCCTCGGCGGCGCTAAAGATGGAGTCATGAAGGCCAAGAGGGACATTGGGGTGATCGACAACGAAGCACCCATGATCCTCAAGAGCCTGCGCCATCACTTTGCAAGCTTTTGCCCAGGAACTCGTCCCTGGTTTCATGCATTCCTCGGAGAACACTATCACCGGGACCTGGGTTGTTCCTACCATCTCTCTTAGCTCTTCTCGATCTCTCCGACCACAATCACCAAGAGCAAGGCTGGTCTCTTGATCGGGTGCTCCTTGCGGGAAAAATTGCCAGAGCGCGGTTGAGCTTTTCATAGGCAACTGAGGGAGAACGTTTGTCACGTTCTCTCAATCCAAGCCGAATGGGGCCCAAAAAAAAGACATAACAACGCGTTATTGTGTCCACGCTGAGGACAAAGCTGTCTCGATGGAGAAACTGTTCCGGTGAACAGTTGATCAGCTAGCCGGATTCAAACCATCAAGATCTGATCGGATCCACCAGAAAAATACATGGAACCCGCTATTTTCAATGATTCGCGTTAAAAATATGTCTCGAGTTTGAGCTCGAAGCGAAAATCCGAATATTCCGAATTGATAATTTGCGGACATCCGAAATCAAGCAAAAAAAAAAAAAGAAATATCTGAAATTCACTTTCCCAATGCACGTCGAAGTCTCTGTTCTCAAACTAGAAATATTAGACTTTGACTCGGTCAACATGTCAGAGAAAGAATAAGAAGAAATAAAAAATAGGGTTAATATCACAAAAAATTCCAAACTGGTACACTTATGATAAATTTACCTCAAACTATTTTTTTGACCACAAAAAATCCTAAACCGGTACACCTGTGACAATTTTACCACGAACTATTTTTTTGACCATCAAAAACCCCATACTGGTATACTTGTGATAATTTTACCCCCAAACTAATTTTTTGGCCACTAAAAACCTCAAACTTGTACACCTGTGACAAATTTACCCTCCGTTAGTTTCCGTTAAATTTTACTGTCAAATTGCTAAGTTTAATGACACGTGGTAATTGACATGTATACCGATTTTGGGTTTTACCCCTTTGTTTGTCACAAGTTTACCAATTTATGATTTTTTGTGATATTAATATATTTTAACGGACACTAATAGAGGGTAAATTTGTCACAAATGTACCAGTTTAGGGTTTTTAGTGGTCAAAAAATTAGTTTGGGGGTAAAATTGTCACAAGTGTACCAGTGTGGGGTTTTTAGTGGTCAAAGAAATAGTTCGAGGTAAAATTGTCACAAGTGTACCAGTTTGGGGTTTTTGGTGGTCAAAAAAATAGTTCAGGGTAAAATTGTCACAGGTGTACCAGTTTAGGGTTTTTCGTGGTATTAACCCTAAAAGATAAGGTTCCCTGCAGAAGTCGATTTGGGTTGTTTGGGATTTATATCCTTATATATTCTTGAATTTTTTGGCGAAGTTGCAAGTAGGAGCCATTGTTGATCGTGAGTCTTGAAGCGCCTAATGCGAGTGCTTGGTGTGCCGTGCAAGTGAATCAGAAGCTATTGTGCACGAAGAAGGAAGCGCCGCATTCGTGAGTGCTTGGCGGTGGGTGTTTCCGTGGATTCTCGTTCGTGAATTACATCCAAGAAGAATTAGTGTTCAAGCGTAAATCTTGTGATAAGATTTGTGTACAATTCTTTTGCGAGATTAAGAGATTATTTCATGAGGAATTGTGGGGCTAAACACTGCGTGAGTTATTGGATGTAATTAGGGCTTTGGAAACACCGAGAGTGTTTGAGTGACTCGAGTGTGGTTGTAATCTCCGTTGTATCGTTTGATCTATAGTGGAATTCCGTACTGCTCTCTCCATGGACGTAGGTCACTACGACCGAATCACGTAAATCTGATGTCCGATTTATTTTCTTATTCTGTCAATTTTATTATTTAATCGCTTGGCTTCCGCAACAATCCGAATCCAGTCTAGCATATATGTTACACTCATGTAATAATTTATTCTCTAGTGGAGACGTATTTATAAAGTGAAATATGTATAATGACTTTTCATATTAGTGTAATTTCTTTACGCCTAATAATTTAAGATGGACGCTCACGTGTATTTCCTCGAATATTGTATTGATACAACTTTACAAAAAAATTAAATGAGAAATCATGTGGTGGAGACGAGGAGTACTGGTGCTGTCGCGGTGGGACTTGCTTCAGATTACACCAGTTCTCGTCATTTTCGCAAAAGAAGTGCCTTTTCTTCGTTTTCACGCTCCTGTCCCAGTCAAGATCACAGTTTCCTGAAGTGGAAAATCATGTAAAAGGCAGTGCTAAGGTGAGTGGAGAATTATAATATTCAGTATTGGGATATATAATCATTCGCCAAAGACTTTCAAGGTTCATAGGGGATATGCATTGAATCTTGTCACTTTGAAAACATTTAACAACTCAAATAAAATCCTTGCCATACACCACTCATTACCAAGTTAATATTTGCTCATCACTTTCAGGGAAAAAAATGAAGAAGGTGATAAATAAAGGAAGATATTTGGCTGGAGAGCTCACACGTGAAGAAAAGTTTGTGCTAACTTCACTCTAAGATTAAGATGCGATAAAGGCTGTTTTTTTATAGCTCTTTCTCTTTCACTGTACTATTAGACGCAAATATTTGCTCTTCTCATTCGCTTGTCAATGTAGGCCGTCGGCTGAATCACGTGAATTTCTTGTGTTGTCACTTGGCTCTCAAGTCTGGTTTTAAGGCATTTTGATAGCACGAGATTTATATTAGTGACATAGTTTGCCGACGGTGGTATGTTGGGAAGTTCTATTTACTATTTGTCCAGAGTTAACCTTCATTTCATGAAGAAAAATTATTGGTGGAATATGACATAGCTAATTGAATGTAGCAGTCTCATTCTCCACTTAATTCTGACGTATTCCATTCCAATATCTTATCTTCAAGATAAGAATGCTCAGGAGTTTCCCTATTGCTCCAACTTTGGCTGCATTGATCAAGTGCAATCACTATCTACGCTTTGTCTGTTACCTACACATCATGTATATGAAAGTTTGCAGCCCATGAACTTGGTAAATACAAGTAGTGTTTTTTGATATCGAATGTGTTGACACCTAAATTTTAACTAGTCATTTAGGAACAATTGCATAGAAAATTAGGGATTAAATTTTAACCCCTAAACAAAAATATTAAAATTGCATAGCATATAGTTTAAGTTCATATAGGTTAGTTGCATTCCGCATCGGACCGGCGGTGGCGAGAAAGCTGAAAATTCATCGCATAAACAGAGCTCGAGCACTCGGCTCACTCGAGGGATTGGGGGCCAAAATTCACAAGTCTAAAAGGCTTTGGTTGTTTTAATTTGAGTTTAAATCAGCCCGAATTAATTTAGCCCATTTGGAATTAAAATAAAATTAAATGATAAAACCTAAGTCTAAGCCCATTAGGACTAGGAAGCCCGGTTAATTAACCTAGGGTTGTGATATAAATATGTCGTTATGAGTCATAATCAAGGGGGCTCTCACAATTTTCAGAACACGATTTTTGAGAGACACACGTGAGCGAGAGTAAGAGTAAGAGAGAGAGAGAGAGTCGGTCGCGCTCACCTCACAGCTGCGTCGCCTCGCGACCGTACCGCGCGGACCGCTGTTGCTGCTGTTCCGCGACATCGCCCGTGCCTACGCCGTGCTTGCCGCCGCCGCTGCCCGATGTCCACTACCACGCCGATCCAGTGACATCCGTGAGTTGCCGCTGCTGTGTCCAGGCCTCTCTGCAGCCGTCTCACAGCCATCAGCGTACTTGGCTGCCGCACAGATTCCTTGTCGATCCAAATCAGCCTAGTTTTGGTTCTTGACGGCATCAACGAGTCTGTACGTGAAGAACCTAAAAGGAATACACAGCACAAATCTAAAAGGAGTCCAAAGTCAAAGAAGTGGTCCTACAAAAAGGCCTGCGTCATCAATTCCAGTGAGCTTGGCAATGTGCAATTCAGCCACTTGCCTTAGTTCTTGGGGGCGAAATCAGAATTTCCAGCATCAGACCAACAAACAACAAGCAATCGTCAACGTACTTCAGTCAATTCAGACGACTCTGGAGGCCCTCCATCGAACCTGGTTCGCTCTGCAGCAACTAGCACCGCGAGTACAACCGAGACGAACTCCAGTCCGCGATCCTGACATCCTCCGAAGTTGCTGGTCACCCCGAGTCCCAACGCCAAGCCACTGCTGTCCCAGTGCCTCGTGGCGTCCTTACATTGCCGTGGCCTTATTCTTGTTTTGCAGATTGACTGGGGGCACCACCGCGCGCACCACTGCGCCCGCCGCTGGCCACCCCATCGCCGTCCCACGGTGGGCCTCCACCGCCACCGCCTCTCATCGTCGCCGCCGCGTCTGCCGTCGATCACCCACCGTCGGTCACTGTCCCGATCCGCAATCCCAGCGATTCAAATTTGGAAAGAAATCCGCAAACGTGATCCAGCATCAAGCTCGAATTTGGAAGTTATCCGTAAATTAGGTAAGAAACTTTATCCGATATTGTTTCAAATATTTAAATTCCTAATTCGAGTGATTTTGTTGTCTTTGGTTGATTAGTAGATATATTTGAATGATGCATGGCATATTCCAAGATTCCAAAAAAATACACTAAGTTAGGAAATTCCTAACCTAACAACGTGTCGGGACGACTATCCGATCTCAACCATGAGATACGATATTCGGTGGCACGGAAAATCTTTATCCTGTCCATAACTATTTGGATACGATAGTAGATTTTATTTTGTTCCCAAATTCAAACGAATAGCCTTCCATCAATATCCATAATCACATGGATATGATCGCCGGTTTATATCGTTTCCCTAATTCAAAGATAATAAAACAAATCTTGCGGATCGCGTGGATTGGCTTTGATCGCGGTGGTTATCTGCCTGTTTGATTTATTTCCTTTAAAAAGAAAATTCCAAAAAAAAAGATTAGTTAGGATTTGAATTGATTTTATTAGAAGATAATGATGCATGTTTAGGATAGGTTTAAAATAACTTTCTTTGAATAAGTCGATAGGATGACTTTTTAATTTAAATTAGGAATTAGAGTAATTTATTTCCTAGTTTAATTTAGATATTAGCCTAATCTCGATGGTTCATTTTAGGGTAATTCTTGATTTCGAATTTTCATAAAAATACCAAAAAGAAGTCACTTTAGGATAGATTAAATTATCCTTTTTTAGAATAGATTGCATGTTAATTTAGGCATTTTTTTAATTCCGAAATTCATTCAAAAATAAATCATTTGTCCGTCATTAGAATTAGGTCACGTCGTCGCATGACATATAGTTCGCATGCTAG